GAGACGTTTGCTTATTGTACACGAATCAATTTGTTCGCGAGCAAACCCGTCGGAAGGGAGAGGGACAACCGGGACGACTGTATCCGTACCAAAGCGACGTGTGTTTTGTCTAATTTTTACATTTTTTTTTTTTTTTTTTTCTGAGTTTGGCCGTTCGAGGTTTCGACGCGGACCCGGCATTTTCACGGGCGTTCGTAACTGATGCCGCGCGATTGACCGCAGAACTTCGCAATTTAAAACGCGGCAACGATTCCGCGGTGCAACGTACAACGCGTGATAGTGCATAATATAATAGCGCGCCGGTCGGTCTCATTATCACGGGCTCCCGCGGGCGATGACGTGTGACGGCGATAACGATAACGAATAACGACAATGATAACAGACGGCAAAGAAAAACTGTTATTGTTGCGTCTCGCGCCGCGGGCGTACGCATCACGGCGGCGATTCGCGTACCGCAATCTCTCGCCGGCGTACCCGCCCGCGTAACGATGTCGCGTCGCGTCGTTGTACACGCTGCGGGTGTGTAACGGGCGGGCAGGCGTACGCCCGCGGGTAATATTATTGCGCGCGCGTTATCAAAAAACGAAAACGGTCGCCGGGGGGGAAAACCCACCGAAAGACCGGAGGTTCGCTCGCCCGCCGCGGTCGCCCGGGCGATATTCCGCGTGCGGTACCGCCGCGTCAAATGTCAACGGCATTACGCCGCGTACGAACAGAAATGCGCGGACGTTTGTTATTATGTAAACGTTGTTCGAGTGCGGCGGCGGCGGCGACGACGAGCGGTGTTGTATAACCGAAAAGGATTATCGCACTTGACGGGATTCGACTATTGCGGGCGCACGACACGCGCGGCTCGTACGCCGTTGCGCATTATCGTCACTATTGTTACTGTTACTATTATCATATTATCATGCGCGCCGTGTTCCATAGGCGATCGTCGTCGCGTCTCCCGGGGGCGAGATTATGACGCGAGCGTTCTTCCGTTGCTGTCGGTTTTGTTTTTTGTGGTTTTTTTTTTTTTTTTTACTCTTCGTAAACGTAACGTGGCGCGCGGCCAATCCGCTTTGGCTTCTGTGCGGTACGCGTAGGCGCCTGCACAACGGGCACCGCCTCCTACCTTTTTCAATCGCGATAATACGGCATTTTGATAACAACGATAACGCAACGGGCGCAGGAGTGTTGGACTTTATCGACGCGCTGCGCCCGGGTGTGCGGCACGCGCGTCGCGATGCGCCCGGGGATTTTCACGGGGGACGGGACGAGTGCCGAGCCGTAAAATCGTTTATTTTACCCGTGGAAAAACCTAGTGACCACGCAATTCGCGTGTTTTTGTACTTTTTTTTTTTTTTTTTTTTTTTTTTATCGATATCGCAGAAACATAATGCCAATCGGGATTTTTATAAGACAACAATGACCGATTGGCGATAATAGGAATTATGATTATCGGACACCGCGTTCCGTTAACCGCCGCGGTATGCGTGTGTGGTGCGATGGTTTACTACAGTTTACCACGCACTACACAGGTTATGTTTACCGTAAACAAATCCTCCAATTAATGTATTGTGCTGAACACCGGTGTTTATTTTGACGTCCGTTAAATTGCCCACTCCGCCGCCCTCCCCCCCCCCCGAACTTAATTGTATGAAAACCAAACGGGTACCAAAAATGTGCAACAATCTGCAATGAAATTTTCGAAATTTGCAATTCAATACTTTTCCCGGAAGAACAATTTTCCCGTGGAGAGGGGGGGGGAACATTGTCGAATCGACTCCAAATCGGTGCCAACATATTACGACCGATTTGCAACGAAATTGTACGACTTGTCAAACTGTATTTATACGGTAAATCTTCTATACCGGTGCATAAACGAAATATATATTTTAATATTTTTATGCACCTACAATCTACATATTATTATGTTTTTTTTACATTTTACCCATATTTTTTTGACGTTACAAGACAGCTTAGTGACGCTCAATCAATTTGTTTTCGATTATTATAGACAGTAATAAAGTAATAACTCTTATTTTTACAAAAAATAATACTTCTCAATTCAAAATTATTTATTTTTAATAATTAAAATCTGCAACTCAATACGTTTCCCGGGAGAACGGCATTTTAAAATATGTCTTACCAAACACGCTCCGAATAGTTTTACGTTAGCAACGGTTTATCGTTGCGTACAGATATAAATTTAATAACTTTATGTGTCCTCCTTCCCAACTACCCACTGCTGTTGCAGTGGCCGCATCCATCCCCAGTATCGACTTATTTTTTTTTTTTCTCTAACTAGCACAAGTGCCATTAGTTTGATTAAAATGTATACTTAAAAAACACGGACATACTTCGCACAACGGGTAGGTCACTATTGTTGGTGAGAAGTTGGGAAGGTAGGATATAGAGGGGAAATTAACTTGTATCTGTCTGTAAACAACGATAAACCATTGCTTACTTAAAACGATTCAGAACGAAATTCGGTTAAACATCATGTTGGCACCGGTTTAGAGTCGATACATAAATGTGGGAGGGGGCTGCATGAAGTTAGTCCCCCTCCCTGGTAAAGAGTGAAATGCATCAAAAGTATTGAATTGTAAATTTTGAAAATTTCATTGCAAATTTTTGGCGTCGGTTTAATTTTCATACAATAAAGGGGGTGGCCAACTTCACGGTCATTTTTTTTAAACTTTTAACGCCCTTAAATGAAGCCTGGACGGGGAGGTTAAATCGTGTACACGCATGGTTTTCGGTATTAAGGATGTGCCTTTTAAATTATCTTGTATTAATCATTTCCGTAGTGTTCTAAAATCGAATTCGATAAATTAGAACCGTTAGAGCGAGAGGTTTTTAAACACCTCTACAATTATTGCTTTTTTTTTTTTAAATTTTGCTATTTTATGGATTGTAAGTGCGTAGATGCGTACATAAATCCGGTCCTCCGTGATGGTATATGTGAGGTGTCGGCAAGTATCTATACACACTTCCGAGTGATCGTACAAGTATTTTAGCAGGTATAGACCGGCACGAGGGGATATAGAATATAATTCTCCGTGTTACGTTATCGTTTGAATGCCGTCGACCGGACCGAAAAATGAAATAATTACACCCGCGCGGAAACCGTTTAAAAGCCGCGAGAAATCCGAGCCGAAGAGTAGGTACCCTCGCCCGCCTATACATACAATAACCCCCGTTTCGGTTTTTCGTGCGAGGCCGGAATTTTCGTACTCTGAGAAATTTCGTTTGTAATATGCGCACGTTATATTATTATAATATACTCGGGGAGGCGGGTGAGTGGGGCGAGTGGGTGGGGGGGGGGGAGAGTGGCGGGTCGGGGACCGTCGACGGCTTAAGTGGTCTTGGCTGACTTCCTTCCGGCCCGGTTCCCGACCGCTCCGCCGTCCGATATTATAACGTCGTCGTCGTCCCCGCACCAATCGTGTGTCAACGCAGCACGTGCTAGGTTTCTTCTATTATATTCCTATTTATAATGCCGTATACCTATACTGCATGCGTTAATATATTATACACGTATACAGCGCCGTCAAAGCGTCCCCTGCTTATCCGCCGCGGACATTCGATACGGTATGGGTACCCGCCTAAACGCGTAATAATAATAATAATAATACCTGTACAATGCAATATGTCGTCTGATCGATGACAACGCGTCCGACGCGAAAACGGTTGACCCGCCCGTGCCGTCATGTGTAGGCGCAACCAGGTGGGGGAGGGGGTGCTAGTAGAGGGTCTTTAGCGGTCCCAGTTTAGTTACGAAATTATGATATTGTTGTCTAAAATTTATCACGGCGTGATAATCACATGATATTTTCCAAGCCAAAAATGCGAAAGCGTCTATTATCACAGTTCACTGTTTGAAATCAATAATTTCAGCATATTCATCCCAATGTAAGATTTAAACGTTATTTTGGTAAAATATAATCCAAAAATACATACAAAATGTGTTCATGTACTCAACCTAGTAATATATGCAGTAATATTAAGTACTATAGTTAATTTTGTAAAACATACACGAACAGGTTAATACTGGCCAATAATCATATTAGATATTCACTATACATACCGACCGCTATTGTCCTATTTTATATTTTAATACGAAATTGTATTAAAAATTTGTCAATTTTTTAATTCAAATTATTGAACAAATAAAAGTACTAAGTAGTCACAATAAATATGCATTAAATTATGTTGTTTTAATTTTGTTAGAAAAAAAATTGCTAAGTAGATACATATCTTACCTAATATATAAAAATACCTAAAACTATAGCGCAGAATAAAATATTTGATATTTGATTTATTATCACTAATTAAGTTTATTTTTAATTCAATGCTGTGTAAGTAATGTTTTGAAAATTAATTTTGAATTACCTATATGTTTATATGGAAATTTTGTTTGAATGGTAATTACCCCAGGGTAGGAGGAATATCGGTCATTTTCATTTACAAAAAAAAATACAAGCTTATGTTTTAAAAATCTGAAATATTGACATAATGTTGTCACATGTGTATATATCCAACCTAATCTAACCCAGACCAAATCTTGAAAAAATGAAAACGTATATAAAGTAAAACTGAGCAGTATTTTGAGACAATCCAGAATTTGGAATAAAATAATTACATTATCCCGATCACAATCTGTTTAATCCGTATTGTCGGATCCAATCTAAGAAATAATAGAACTGACCACACGCAGTGGTAATGCGAACCCACAGCACGCTGTAAACAATATGTATATTTCAAATTTCAGTAGTAAATTATACTATTACCTAAAGGTATAAAATAAATAACAATACAAGCAGCATTTAAAAATAAACTACCTATTTTAGATCTTCATAATCTGGATTGGTACTTTAAATCCGAATTAAACATATTGCAAGTTGTAACATTGGTGTCAATCAGGATTTGGCAATCAGCACTAATATAAAGTAATAATACAAACAATTCGATATGTTTTACAATAATAAACATTTATTATGTTTATTATTTTTCCATCATACTATACAATTATTACTGATTATTGTCACTAAAGAATATAAAATGATACACTAAAAATGTAATATTATATTCAAATTTAATATTTAAATATAATATACCAGTCTAATGAACTTTCATCATAAGGATACTGTGTATTATCAAAGAAATTGAGTAATAAAATAATTTGTAGAATATTGTACATGTCGAATGTAGTAAAAAATTGTTTTAATTATTTACAAATGAAAAATATATAACAAGGCAAAAATTAAAACTTAAGACTAAACGCTGGTACTGCAGGAACTCTTGGTAAATTATTACCGATATGAAATCCTTCGTCTTCTTTGAGCTGTTTGTATTCCCCACCGCCAGATGGTGGTTTTGGACTAGCTGCTGCAACTCTTCTCGTACCGCCTTCGCTCTTTGCTGGCCATGTTGGAAACATTGCCGGATCTATGGCTAATGGCATCTCTGAGAAGTATTTATGTTTAAGTGCATCTTCGGCTGTTACACGTGTACTCGGATTGTATGTAAGCATTCTAGTAATTTATAAGTTATAACAAAATATGCATAATGAATAAAATATATAATCGTTTAACAAATTATCTAACTCACTTTCTTAATAAATCATATCCAATATCTGTTAAAATGCCTTCTTTTGTAAACCTTCCTTTAAAATTAGCCGGAGGACAATCAGGCATTGATGCTTTTGTTACAAATGACAAACTCGAATATCCAGGCCATACTTTTTCATTGGGCGTACCAAAGGTACTAAATATTTTTTTCAACTGATCATATTCAGTTTTTCCAGTGAACAGTGGTTCCATTAACAGAAATTCAGCAAATATACATCCTACAGACCAAATATCAATTGGAGTCGAATATTCCTAAAAAATTAATTGAAATACTTTTTGTAATTTGAATGGCACATCGAAAATAAGACAACAAAATATTATTTGATATTATAAAATAAAATTTTTTTTAACCATTCCTAACAGTAAAACTATGAGAACACAAAAATAAATAATCTTCAAAGATATAATCTCACTAACCTTGGCGCCTAACAAAAGTTCAGGTGAACGATACCACAAAGTCACAACTACCGGTGTATATGATTTTAATGGAGAACCATATTCTCGAGCTAAACCGAAATCGCCAACTTTTAAAATACCTTTATGGCTTAAAAGTAAATTGGAGGTTTTCAAATCTCTATGTAAAATCCAATTATCATGTAAATGTTCTACAGCCTTTAAAAGTTGTCCCATTAAACATTTAATTTCAGCTGGAAAACAAATAATGTAAAAATTTAATTGTTTGAAATCCAATCGAAAAATAATATAGTATAATTATTTACCAGGTGTAAATGACTGTTTTTTTTGTCTCATTGTTTCCATTAAAGATTTCATATCATGTTCAACATAATCCATGACAATGAAAATTTTATCCATGTTACTGCCTACAACAATTTCTTTTACCTTCACAATATTAGGATGCTGTGATTTTAAAAGAGTGCTTATTTCTCTCAGTGAAGTAATTGGAAATCCCTCTTTCTCTTTTTCCATTTTCAATCGTTTCAATGCCACTATTTGATCAGTTTGCTTTTCTTTGGCTCGATAAACCACACCATAGGTTCCTTCTTCAATTCTAAAAATTATAAACAAAAAAATAAATCTAATGAATAATAAATAATTATGATTGCCTAATAACCTATTTAAGCATTGAAATTCTTCTACACTTCGACAACCTTGGAGCGCAGGTAAATATTTTAAAGGTGACAATGGAGGAGACGAGTTTTTTTCTAATGTGATATCCATCTGAATTTCAGTATCAATTTCTGGTGATTTTGATTCTTCTTTTATAGAGTTGCTGCTACTAGATTTATCAGATTTTTCTAAAAAAAAAATTAAATATATACATGTATTAATAACTGGATGGATGTTATTTTTTTTACATAAAGTATAGTGGATTAAAATAATAAACAATGTATTGATTATTTCATATTTGGTATACATACAAGTACCTAAAGCAATAGAGTAACTCTAAAATAGTAATAAACATCATAAAATTTGAAGATTAAAATTAAAGTTATTTTTAAACCTCACATACCGCTAGAATGTGAACTTTTTGAAGACGAAGATGAAGAACCAGAACTATCAGTGTCATCGCCTGAATCTTGACCTGATTCATTAGATTCTTCTCCTTCCGATTTAGCTTCAATCAATGGTGGAGTGAGAGAATTTTCTTCAATTTTAGTTTTATTATTTCCCTCCTTGTGTTCTTTGTTATCATTTTCATCGTCTGATGAAGATGAATCATTTGATAACACAACTAGATCAGGTACCATATCTGGTCCTATAACAAAATAAATACTCTTAAAATAATCAATGGGATTGAAAAATACAAAAAAAAAAATTAATTATTTATCAGACATAAATTATTATAATAATAATAAATTATTTATGACAAGGGCTGGGAAAATTATAATACCTCAAAATTACATAATTATTATTAATTTGATATTTTAATTTTAATAACACAATAATATTCACTTATTTGTTTCACCCTATAGTATGGTTCAGTATGTTATATTATTAAGTTAGATTATTAATTGAATTCTATCCATTATTTTTAATTAAATGAAAATAGAAATAAACAAAAACATTGTATTTTATTTGTAATATTGTTACTCATTACTAGGGCCCGAAAACTAGGGCACTAAAACCATATAAAACATGCATCCATTTATGCATTTTTTTTCATTCGAATAGGCAAACAAATATAATAAACCATTACTAGTTTTTCATTATAGGGAATCTTTGTGGTACCAACAGCAAACTTTATCTTATTAAATAGTAAGCTCATCGATAAACAATATTATCAATTGGCATTACATGAGTCGATACATGGATAAATACAAATTTAAAAATAATCAAAATATGAATATGTCCTTAGTTAGGTATTAGTATTATTAACTTGATACTATTTTTTTCAAAATATATGCATTATATTTTTGAAATAATACTTGAATATGCATAATAACATAGTATGTAATTACTATATGTTGACAGACTTTTCTGAATATTTTATTTATTATTTTTCCTTTTTTTTATTATATTATTTTGTATATGAACTCAACATCACAATTTCAAGCAATGCTTATAGGTGATGTTTAATCATGATTCTATGTTTTTTTCTTATGTTGTGATAAGTCCATGTTATTTTTTATTACAATAAACAACTATTATTAATAAAAAATGTTCTGAATATGCAAAAATATGCAAAATTAAATTGTATATATTGTATATATTAGGCTAAGATTCAAATTTGTGTCTTACCTAGCTACTTTTTAATATAATAAACAAAAATATGCAAACGCGTACAATTTTCGGGCCCTACTATAGAATTACTTTATAATGGTATGAGTTCATAACTAATAAATTCTGGTCAAAAAAATAATCCCAGCCCTTTTTGAAACTCAACTTTTAAAACCTAGTATAAGTAAAAATAATATAATATTATCTACCTTGTTCCACTGTTTTTTCTATGAAAAATGTATAAAACAAAATTAATTTTCAATCATATCATACACTATACATTTTTATAATATCATTAGGTAGAAATACCTAACTGATCTATAACTTATATAACTTAGAATAAATAAAAATAATATAATATTGTCTACCTTGTTTCACTGTTATTTCTTTGAAAAATGCATAAAAATAAAATAAGTTTTCAATTAATACACTATAAATTGTTTATATCAAAAAGGCAAAAAGAGGTACAAATACCTATTTAAAGATTGTAATTGATAATTCATTTATGAACTAAACTGTGACAATAATAATAACACCCAAAAATTGCATTATTATTATATTTGATATTAAATTGTAATAAAAAAATAATATTGTAAATATTGTATTTTATTTATAATATTTTACAGCAAAAGTAAAACAGAGTATTTAGAGTATAAGTTTAGCAGAATAGAGCAAGACAATAAATGTGATATAATAGAAAAGGTTGAAAGTTTTAAGTACTTAGGATCTTTTGTACAAAAAAACAGTAATTTTTACAAAAATGTAAAACATAGAATTAAGTGTAGTTGGATAAGTAAAGAGAAGTGCCAGGTGTTTTAGGTGACAAGAAATTCCAATGAGACTTAAAGGCAAATTCTCAAGAATGTGACGAGACCAGCTATGTTGTATGGTTTCGAATTGTTAAGCGGTATACAGAAAAATAGAATAGAGAATGAGTGTAACAGAAATAAGAATGCTTTGCTGGACAAATGAAGTGACATGATAAGGAATGAGTACATAAAAGATAATATTAGTGTGGCTTCAATAGTAGACAAAATGAATGAAAATAGACAGAAATGGGTTGGGTATGCCATGAGGAGAGAGAAATTAGAAGTAATAAGAATTGAAATGAAAATAAAAGTAGGAGGAAGAAAGAGAAAAAAAGGTGGTTAAATATGATTAAGAATGATATAAAGACAGCAAGTGTGTATGAGAAAATGATGTGGGAGAACATGTTAAGTGGATGTTTATGATAATGGTGGCAAACCTTAAATAGTTGAAATGAAGGTAAAAGAGAAGATTTGAATACTAGAATATTGTAGGTATTAAAATTATATAGAATTATTTTAAATATTTTTATTATTATTGTTATTAAAAAATTAATGTATAATGGTATGAGTTCATAACTAACAAATTATAGTAAAAAAAAATTTAAATCCCAGCCTTTTATGTAACTTAATATAAAAATAATATAATAATGTCTACCTTGTTCCACTGTTATTTCTTGGAAAAGTGCATAAAAACAAAATTAATTTTCAATAATGTACTATATACTACAATATTGAGCCATAGTAGACAAAAGCGAGTAAGCAACATTTTTTTGCCAAAATTACATAATATTCATAAAAAGTACTTTTATCAATGATAAAATGGTTAAGTGAGTATCACAGAAATTTAATGTTTTTGCATAAATATCAGGAGTTTAATTTGTGAACAATGGTAAGTTTCTATTAAATGACCCCAAATATCTAGTGTCCATGTCTGATACTCATTTAGGGAGACGGGTACAGCTATATTTACAGACAAAAATGTTTTTATAATATAAAGATTATATAATGTCAACTTAATAATTTGATTACTTTTTTGTAATATTGACAAACAAAATTATACAAATCACATTAAACTCAATTTTTCATTTGATTTCCAATAATGTTACACAAAAGTTAAAAATAACATTTGTTCTAAAAATACATACCTATTGTAAAGTTTGAAATACAAATAATGAAAAACTGAGTTCATTGCAGTCTATAGGAAGTCTTTCTCCTCCCAACAAAATAGTAATCATCAAAATCAGACCCCTCTACAAGACATGAGTTTTTTCCTGATAAGACATGTTTTCAACCCAAAAAAGTGGCACTGGGCGCATTCATCAATTATCAAATTTCAAAATGTTAAAACGTTGCTTAAATAATAATTATCAAAATGTTAATTATCCTCTTTTGTCTATAAAGGATCTATATATCATGTTTAAAATATACAATTAAAACTTACGAGGTCGATCTATCATTTTATAGTATTGTTCAATATATTGGTCTCTTTCTCTATGCGATTTACGACTGTCTCTTTCATCTTCTTCTCGCCTTTTCAGCTTAGCATGTGCATCTCTAGAATCACTACTGCCTACATCTTTTTTTTGATGGTGTTTATAATCTGTAGTACGATATCGTTCTTCTTTTTCCATTTTCTTTTTTTGTAATAAATTTCTCAAATCATTTTCCTTTACAAATACAATTTTTTTAAACAAAAAAAGATACATATTAAATAACTAGGTGAAGAATAATAATGTTAAATAAATATCTATGTAGTACATTAATTTGATTGTAATTTGTCAGTTTTTTTTTTTTTTAATAATTTTAAATAATAATTGAACACAAATAGCTTTTTGGCCATATGGTATTTTTAAAAATAAAATAAATTTAAAATTTCACTATTTATAAAGAAAATGTTTATTTTTATTTCTAAGGAATAAACAGTTGAATTACTAAAATTTAATTGTAATGTAGCTTATTATTTCTACAGCAGCATATATCTTAAATTCATATCTTATTTCAATTTGTTACTTAAAATACAATTAAAAACTATTAATTAATTAATGAATTATGCAATTAATATACCTTAAGCATTTCATCTCTATGTGGCTTTTCATGTTTTGAATGTTTATCATGACCATAACCTCCCCTTTTTTTGTAACGTTCCCAATCACCATTTTCAACTCTATCTAAATTTCTTGAATCTATTTTGTAATAATCATCATCTTTTTTGGGTCTTTTGCTTCTCATGGAAAGTTCATCATCTCTGAAATAATGTTTCATAATTATGTTATAATTTATTTATCCCTTACAACTTAGATGTTATAGTCACAAAACAATATGGTATAAAATATAAATATTACCGAGAATGTCTATGTTTTCGATGACTTGAATGATGTTTTTTCGTCGGATCCTAAATATAAAAACACATTTAATTATATTAGAAAGGAATTATTTTGTATGTATATATATATATTAAATCTAGTTACTTTGGAATGTTTATGATGACTGGTTACTTTATGCCTTGATTTGTGAACTCTGGCTTGTGGCGGTTTTATTGTTAATGTATGATCCACAGCAATATCATCTTCATCGGTTATTCCACCACTAAAATATTTCAAGTTACTTTATTAATAGCATAAAATACATACAGTGAAACCTCTATACAACATTATAATAGATCAATGGCTAACAGTGGCAACAAATTTCCTTGTGAGAAATTTTTTTTAAATCTAAATAGAAAATTGTACACATTATGTTAAAATAAAAAATGCAATGAGATTTGGGGATCAGACCCCCAAAACCCCCTCTGAATATACTCCTATCATAGAACACTTGTAAGAAATGGCAATATTTCTGTTACGGAAGAGTATGAAAATGTACAATAGATGATAATTTATACAAAGAAGTAAAAAGATCAAATTATGGATTCAATTAAAATTATTGATTAATGAAGCTTCTATAATATATATACCTATATATATATATATATATATATATATATACATATATTATCCATAGAGGTTTCGCTGCATTACATGATTTATATTAAAATAAAATTATTAATTATTAGTTTTTACATTTTTTTAGGACGCGGTTTATTCTTTCGAGTTTTATCTTCATCATTAACCCTACACGATTAAAATATTTAGACAATTAATTAGCAAAAAACAAAAATGTTATTTTATTAATATAATATTAATACACTATTTTACAGCTAAAAATTGAGTACAATTTCAAATATTAAACATTATTGTTATTACCTTTTTTTTTTTTATTACATCTGAGTGTTTAGACATGTGAATTATAATTTTAAACATAAATATTTAGGCATTTGTTTTTGTAATAAAATAATTAATGATGTAAGTAAGTAAATGTAAATATTTTATTTCCTACATAAATTTTAATGTGGAGAATAAATATTCCATTTATACGTATAATTTATTTAGAGCCATTACAATTGCAATGTCATGGAAAGTATATTAACCAATAGCAATTTTACTAGTTTATTCAGAAAATAACAGCCCGTTAGTAATAACAAGACATTGTAAGAATGATCCTTGCCGTGTAAAGCGTTTCCAAGTGCTAAACATCAAAAGAATTTTGCCTGTTTGCAATAAAAAATACTGTCAGTTAATACTAAAAAACATTCTATATTACAGTTTAAGATACTTTACTTCAAAAATAAATTTTTATTTGCATACCTACTTTAAAGATCAAGTTAGAATAATAGAAATACATTTTGTAAATACCTATTCTAGAAGATTTAAAATTAATACCTAATTTAAATAGATATGCGTTTTATTTCTACATATTAAAAATGTTTCATAGAAATAAAAGTTAAACAAATGCATACTGAACCCAATATCCAATAAGTACAATTATAATAATTAAAATATTGTGTTTATGCTATGAATTAGTTAGTAACAAATATATGTATTATATATATATATATATATACATTTATATATGTATATATTGGAAATATTATATAAGTACCTAGACCGATTTAATATTTTATAATTTATATTTATTTCAATAAAAATCACAATGAGACGTTACCTGCTGGAATGTGAATTGGTATCCATCATGTTTAATGTCGAACAGGTAGTAGTCGTCAAAAGCTGTTCACAATAACCACAGACTAAGGTGCATCCATCAGTCAAATATTACTTAGTTAAAATAATTAATTGGTCACATCTGCAAAATATAATGCCGCGATCTTAGACCTATAATATTATATTGACTTACTAAAGACTTCAAAGTTTAATAAATTGACATGTATAATAATAATAAAACCAAGTAATTTTATTTACAGTAGACTACTTTACTACTTTACTGTACTTAGTATAGAAAAACAAGTATTTATAATAAATGAAGTATTTTCGCTTAGTTAGTAAAACGGTAAACAGTAAACACTTAACAAATTATAAACACTACCAACCACGAACTATGTTAGTTGATAGTTCGTAACATAAACTATGATAATCTATTATTATAGATTATCTGTTATCCTAATAGACGAACGTCTAGAGATAGCCCACGAGCAAATTCCTTATCAATTGTAATATAATTTTTTTTTTTATCAAATAACCTGCACACGAGTTAGTATACATTATTTTATTATCTTGTACATGTTACGATTTTACAATAAATGTACTATGTGTAAACATGTTCATGCAGTGAAAATTAATATGCCAGATGAAAATGATTGTACTAACCTAATGGATACAAATGAAATTTGTATGAACATGTCTGATATACAGCAAATTATCGATTCATCAGCAGTTAGCATTGCAAACAAAATTCAGCAATTTAATAGCATGTTTCCGTGAGCTTGTCATAGGTGGTCCGCGGTCCCATAGATTTTATATTATTTTTTTTTGCTCGTTCATTTCAAAAAAAAGAAAAGAATTACGAACAAATATAGTATCCACTGTGTTTTTCCACTTTTAAAAGTGTTTATCAAAATAATGAATAATATTATTAACGTTATAACTGCGGACGATCGATTGGTGTGTTTCAACTTTTGTAAGTGTGTAGGTACTAAATGTTTATTACTTAGATAAAAGTATTTATTAAATACCATTAAATAATAATTTATTAAATATTATTATTGCGACCGATAATTGTTTACCGATTGCACAGTTTCTCAAATATTTAGTTATGAGATTAATCGAATTTTAACGGTTTTACGTATTTTTACTGAGTACACAACTCTAATTGGATGAACTTTCCCAACGATTCATTTTTAAATGAACTAATATACAAATATTTACAATACAATATTTTTTTATTTTATTTTATACAATATGTTGGTCTATCATGTAGTATTTATTTTGTAATAAACCATACCTAAAATCAATTTAAACATGTGAATTATAGACTAAATTAATCTTAGAGATGGATACTATGTTCCTAAATTTCGTAAGAAATTGTTTCCATTATAATCAAAATAATAATTATTTACAATTTTGTTTCTCCTGAACAATTTTTAAAAGTGGACTTATCTGGTTGTTACAAGGAGCCCTTCAATTGAGGTGGTCAGCGACCTATTTAAAATTACCGAAATGGTCCGTAGTGGTAAAAATGTTGGGAAACACTGCTCTAGACGCTTATTCCTAAAAGTGCCTTCATAGCTCACCGTGAAGCGTGATAATTTACAACCACTATCTAAAAACCACATGGTTCAACCAATCACAGTCCTAGAATATTTCACGGTTAGCTGTGAAGGCGCCTTTAGTTCATGATTCGTTAATAACCCCAGCAATATAACCATAGACAATAAAGAACTTCCTCTTTTATCAATGAATCGATAAGAATGTTCTGCTAACAGATATTTATACTGTATATACTATATACTATGGTATAGATATCTGTGACATACTCGAATATATATTATTTATGATAAAAGCTTTATTCAAGGTCTAATACTATTCATTTCATAGAATATAATATACACCATTCATTGTACATAGTGGTTATCACAATGTTGGTAAATTGTTATCGAGGTGGACCATAGAGTAATATTACTCTATGAGGTGGACACCTTATTTGTTATTAGTACGTTATCAACGAAGAAAACTCGGTAGATGGAAACGTTCTGAACTCGTACAAATGGCAAATCCTTTTTTAATATATTATAATTTATAACTTTAAACTTGTTAATTGTTGGTTAAGAATGGAACGACTTGTCTGGGTTTATTGTTGTATTGTTTTGTTTTTATTCAAATAAAAACATAATCATCACATTATTATTACAACATACAATATAAAAATTTCTATTTTTTTTTTAAATCCATGGCTTTAACTTGAACTATTGCTATACTGCTTAGTTCACCGCCATTTATAAAAAAATTGATTTTAAACAATTATTTTGCTTGATGTTATGGATAAAAAGTGGTATGTAGTTGCTGTTTAAGTTGGTAAATATAATACATATTGCTGGTTATTTGTCGAACATACATAATTATCAACATCTTTTTTTTAAATTTCTAGCAGTGTACAAAAATAGACTAGAACAGAAGACTTTTAGAACTTGTTTACATCATATAATTTTGCAAGTTTGTTTTACACAATCAAAAAAATACCATAGGAAAATAGAATTAAATACATTTTATGTATAAGTCAAATCTCTTTTTATACATTTTAATAAGTACATATTTTTATTTCAATATTTTCGCTGACAAATTTTTTAGTTCAATTAATAATACAGCATTTCTGGATTTAAATTTATTTTTAATTTTTATTATAATATGTTTATTATAAATAACCATATTATAGGTTTATAATATGGTTGTTAACTAAAAATTCACATTTTTTTCCACCAATTAGTCTATTTTTCTAATTTTCCCTTTAGTAATTTTATTTATAGGTAGATAGATTACTCACTGCATATAATATGATATGTAACCTTTCGGGTACACCAATGTATTCACATTTCAGTGTTTGGTGTGCTTCTAAATGGTTGACTTCTTCTAGCTGCGATGTATTTTATTTTTTTAGTTAGGTATTCATTATTATTTTGCACATAAATCCATATTTTGGGTACTTAAGTGCATATTTGGTAACTTTTATTTTTTCTACTCTATGACTAATAATACTAATTAGGTAATTATTTTTTTAAATTTTATTACAAATATTGATTATATTATTGTGTATGTTCATTGTTTGTTGAATTTAGGTTGTTTTTAAAATTAAAATTAATAAATGCTGAAGGTGTTTATCTATAATAATTTGAATACATCTATTAATGTCGTTTTTATTAGATATAAAATATTATGTTATGGCCATCATACCAAATATTTATCATTTTTATCATTATGAAAAATGTACTTCAAAAAATGTACTTCAAAAAATGTATTTAAATATAATTATTATAAATACTAAATTAGAAATAAAATAACATTAAAATTTAAAATATTAGTAGGTAGGTTATCTATATTTATATTGATTAGGTACCTATTCAAAGTCATTAAACAATTAATTATATGTTCCTAGGTTGTAATAATTATTACAACTATTATAAGTATAATATATGCCTAAATGAAAAATAAATACATTTTTAAACTAAAATAATTTTTACTTATTTATCTTTAGTAATTAGTAAGTTTTAAATTGTTGACTGTTTACTTAATAAAACTGACGTCATGTCATATGCCCTTGAAACTTAAGTGTATCTTATCCATATCCATTTTATAGTTCCTGTTACATATTTGTGTTCTGAATGTATAATAGTAGGTAATTTCTTATTTTTATAGGTATGGTATATTTCTTTAGTATTAGGTAAAACAGTTTTCTTTTAGAATTATAAAAGCAAAACATTTAATTGGTGTCCTTCATTCAAATTTTAAAGTCGTAAATATTTAATCATAATTAATTTGAGTGCTAAATATATTATAAAATTAATTATCTTAGTATTAGTGGTAGCATAATGTGTTAACCAAAATACTAGGGTTTAACTTTATAAATAAAATAAAGTTATTTATTTTTTATCCTAAATAAAGATTACTAGTTAGCATAAAGTTGTAGAAAACAGTTTTATTCTGTATCATACATTTTTTTTATTTTAACTCAAATTCAATTAAATCTAATATACTTAATGTAATGTACTTTTAACTATTATTTATTACAATATAGGTATTATTAAATATAATATATTTATTGTGTTTTTTTTATTTTTTAGAATATTTTAGATAAAATATTACTGGTTATAGTAATAATTATTCAAAAAATGGATAATACTTCAAAAAGCAAGTTTGTTTTGTTAACGGGTGGCGCAGGGTATGTTGGTAGCCATACTATTATACCTTTAATTGAATCCGGGTATGAGGTGGTGGTCTTAGATAATTTGTCAAATGCATGCAAAGGTATGTAATACTGCACTTTAATAGTTTCCTTCAAACAATTTTTTACAGCATTTTGTATCTTCCATTATACAATTAATAAGTTTTGTTTATAATAAAATCAATACAAATTAATTTGTGTTTTGAAATATTGTAGTTGGTTTGGTTATCTAATATTTAACACTTACTGTATGATGAACATTTTTTAAATCATAGTAAGACATGATTGTGAATTAATGTATTTTTGAGTTCAAAATAATCGCAAGGGGTGTACTAATTTTTCTTAAGACTTATAGTCCTTTTATTTTTCTAATTTAAGCACTAAATTTAAATAAACGTTTATTATATTGATTTCTTTTGATTTATTATTTTTTGACAATATTTTTCTATCTAATCTTACTATGGTTTATTTGATACTTTGGCTTCTTTAACTTAAATAAGTACTCACAAAGTAATTAGCACCATAATAATCATTTTCCGGGGACGATTTCTGCTGTATTTATATTCCATAGATAGAACGCTGGATATTAACATTTATTTGAATATATAAATAATACAATATTTATTTCTATGTATACATTTTTTATTTATATATTTATTTACGAGTATTAACTATTTTAATAATTTTTGTTTTTACTTTATTATTTTATGATGATAATATGTTTATCAAATAAATTTGTGACGCTACTGTTTATTCAGATATAAAATATCTGAATAAAATTATAAAACTAAAATATCTAATCTTTTTTCAAATATTTTTAAAAATGGAATTCTTAAACAAAAATGATGCAGGAGGTGAAGGAGAAAAACCGGTACCTATATCACAAGTTGAAAAATTAACTGGTAAACAAGTGACATTCTATGCCATTGATCTCCTGGATTATAATTCACTCACAGAAATATTTGATAAGGTTAGCTGTATTATTTATTTCAGCTATATGTAATTAAAATATTATTCTAACTTGGATAGGTAATGTAGAAAAAGCATAATTATTTATTCATATACTATTTTTTACTTATTACTTTGGTACTACTCTAATCATTATATTTCATTATTTGTTTATTTATAATTTTTGATCATGCATTCTGAAATTTATTTTCAAAGTATTCAACTACATAAAAAAAATTGACAAACATGATAACGTAGATTTTAAATTATGAATTTAATCTAACAAAACTAATATGTTAATAATATATTTAAGTTTATTTTTGGGTGCTTAGTATATTTGTTAAGTTAGTGAAATAATTTTATAAATTATGGCTGCTGTTTAATTTTATATGTACATTTTATCTTGATTATTTATAAACTATGCTAATATTTGTATTATTAATAATAATCTTCGTTTAATAATATACATTTCATTTTGGCATCTAATTTATAAATTTGACAAACATAAGTCATATTTTAAAAATATCACTTTATGGTTAGTCTTATAGTTAATGGAAATATTTTATTTTATTTGCTAGCATGAATTCTGCTGTGTCATTCATTTTGCTGGTTTAAAAGCTGTTGGAGAATCATGTATCATTCCTTTGACTTATTACCAAGTCAATGTTTGTGGATCTATCAATTTATTTCTAGTGAGTTAATCATACAAGAATGCATTCTATTGTATTCTATATTATGTATAGTTTAATATTTGTAGTCATTAAAGTGATAAAACTATATTTCTAGCTCCATATTTGTTTGATTTCTGACATTAAAGTTTTACTTATTTAATATTCAAATATTTCATAATGTTTATATTGTCTAATAGCATTTAGGTGTAACATATTTTTGTATTTTATTAGAAGTAATTTAATAATATTTTTTTTCATTGTTTATTTAATATATTTATTATTAATATACTCAATTTGATAGGTTATGAAAGAACACAATGTAAAAAGACTTGTATTTTCATCTTCGTCAACAGTATACGGTGAACCACAATTTTTACCAATAACTGAATCACATCCAGTTGGCCAAAATTTACTCAATGGATATGCTAAATCAAAATATTATATTGAAGGAATATTACAAGATTTGTGCAATTCCGATAAAGTATATTGTTAATGGACAATTATTACCTATTGTAAAATAATTATTTATTGTAAATGCATTTATCATTAGGAATGGTTTGTGATTATTTTACGATATTTTAATCCAGTTGGAGCGCATTCTTCGGGAACTTTAGGTGAAGATCCTAATGGAATTCCAAACAACTTAATGCCATATGTTGCTCATGTAGCTGTTGGAAACATACCAAATTTAAATGTTTTTGGTAATGATTATAATACTATTGATGGAACAGGAGTTAGAGATTATCTCCACATTATGGATTTGGCTGAAGGCCATGTTAGTGCATTAGAAAAAATGCTAAAGTCTAATGATAGTGGAGCTATTGCCATAAATTTGGGTACTGGGAATGGATATTCTGTATTACAAGTAATAAATTAAATTTAAATTTATTAAAAAAATATTTAATTGTCTAATAAGATGTATTTTATATACATTAATCATTTTAACATTTAAACTATACAAAAATGTAGAAATTGTACAATTTTAGATTTAATTTATTATGATCTATATATTTTTAATTCCTACAAACTATTAAATATAAATGTTCAGTACTGAATAACCTTTAAAAGTTATGTAAATATTGTGTTATTTTTATTTTTAGGTAATAAACATGTTTAGTGAAGTTAGTAAACGAAAAATAAAATATGAAATTGTTGGTCGTCGATCTGGTGATTGTGGATCTTCTTATTGTGATGCATCTTTTGCAAAAGAATACCTTGGGTGGGAAGCTAAGAGAACTTTAAAAGAAATGTGTGAAGATACATGGAGATGGCAATCATTATATCCTCAAGGATTTTCTACCAAAACATAATTACTTGCTCAGACTATATTCAAATCAAAGACAAATTTTTTTAAATCTATTTGTTAATATATGTTAATCAAGAACAATAAAATAATTGTTATTAGTTATTTACATTAATTATTTTGAATAATCTGATGAGGCCTATTATTCAGTTAAATAGTTCATGTAGGAATATCTTAGCACTTTATTTTTATTTTGTTATTAGTGTCTAAAGTAAACTTGTAGGTAGGACTATTTGTTTCAGTCTTTAAAATTATAGTTGTTTAGATAAAAATCCAGAAGATTCTTGTTTTTTTTACCATATTGAAAATCAAAAAATTTCATTATTTTTAAATTCAGTCAAATTTATTATGTGAAGTTTAAATAATAAATTAAAATAATAATTTTAAAATAAATTTAAAGTTCAGATTTTTCAATGTGTAATTTACTGATTTTGATATATTTCCCTTTTGACAGAACAATAAATTCAGATATGACTTAATTGCTCGTAAATATTCAATGTATTGATTATGAATTATAAAGCATAAAGCAATAATCGTGTTTTAAGCTATTAATTGTTTTTGAATTTTTAAACATACAATATAAGCACAATAAGCATGTGATGATAAATAATTACTTACAGAGATGATAGCATAATGGTAAAAGCCACCCAGTGATGAAATTATTTTTAGATTCTAAATGAAGCAAGGAATGTATTGATTTTACAATGAAGTTAATTTTTTTTTATTTTTAAACAACTTTCCTACCAACAGTTTTGCTCAAATTTATAATGAGAACACTTTCTAAAAGAAAATTTGACAGGGAGGTCATTTTTTTATTTTCTCAGGAATTTTCCAATAAATTGGAAAAAACGGGATAATGATGAAATGTAGGTAAAAGTAAAAAAATATTATGGCCTTTTCTTTTCCTGTGAATAACTTTTATACCAAAAATTTTGCTATGCACTTTTTCTGAAAGAAAATCTGACTGGGCTGGTACTTTAAGGAGATAAATGTTTGATTTTCCCAATAAATGGAAAAAACAGGAAAATAGGTACAATATTAAACAAATATTATTAAAGAACATATTTAAATCATGGGTAATACCTATTTTAGGCACCATAATATGACATATATATTGTTGACAAAATAACACTATCGACCAAATTTTATTTAGAATCGTTTTTCGTTAACAATGGTTTATCGTTGTAATGAGATATACATTAAATTTATGTCTAAATCCTACCTTCCCAACTTCCAACATACAATAATAACTACACTTGTCTCTATTATCTTAGTGTAGCTTTTTAGGATTAATCATTTAATAACTAGTGAGTCATAATACTAATTCTGTTTGAATTGCCTCTGGAAAGTTTTCTACTTATATATATATGTGAGGTTTGATATTAGAGGATTATATTTTTGTATAATTTCTTTTTAGTATTATACATTTTTACTGCTACTTCATATACGGTTTAAATTTTCAGGTCTCTATGGAACATTTTTTTTGTGTATGGTTGGGTATTTGTAATTTTCCAGAACAAAATGTTTTGAAAACCCGGATTTTATTCACATTGACAATTTTGCATAAGTTGGAAACTGTAGATTAATATTGGCTTTATAAATGTTATTTATATATTGAAAGTTTTGTATTTGTTGTTTAAGATTAATGTTTTAATCTGAAAGCGTAACTTTTAAAGTTAATTTAATTTGACCCAATAAAGTAATGGTCAATAGTAAGATTTAAGCATTTCACTAAAGAGGAAGGAAAAATTAGTATTTTATCAAGGAATCTCTTAGGACAGGAATGAACCCACAGTCTACATGGTATGAGAAGATTTAGAATGATTTATATCATCAATTTTTAAATCATTCATCAATCGGATATAAGTACAAAATGGTTTTGAAATTTTAAGAACTGGGTCATTATTTGTAACAAATTAAAACTGAGTTCATAAAATTATAAAAAAAAAATTACAAATGCATAAAATTTTATTTAAAATAAATTAACTACTTAAATTTTTTAATATTAAACAATGGCTGTATAGCTCTCAAAAAGTTGTCATGAAATTCTTGATTAGAAAACCTATTTACTGATCCCCTGGCAGCTTTTTGTAATGAAAGTTTTTGAGAATCTGACAACAATAGTGCCTTATGAATAAAGTGAGCATATTCTACTTCATTTGTAGCTAAAAATCCGTTTTGTCCAGCCCCGTTTTCAATAATTATGTCCATTAAGGGACCACCAGAACGATGAGCTATCATTATTAATCCAGCAGCCATACATTCTACAACTCCAATCCCAAAGTGTTCATTCCACATTGCATGTAAACCAATTAATCCTGGAAACAAAACAATTCTTTTAATATATAATTAACCAATTTAAATTGATTTTATTACCTTCAGATAGTTCAGTTTTAAGTTCATTGTAGCTAACATTTACTTTGAACTTAACATTATTCTCTAATGACAAATGTTTACACAAATCCTTCATATCAACAACTCGCATTTCATCTTCTTTATTTCTTGTCGATCCAACAAAAACAAGCTCAATATTATCCCAGAGTTTTTCATTCACAATTTGTCGAAGATGATACATTGCTTTCAACTGTAATGGATGATCTTTTTCTGGTCTAAACTGTGCCAAGCTTATAATTTTCATAGTTTTGTTTTTCTGTCTTTCCAAAGGTAAACTTTGTAAATCAGATGTATCACACGGCGGATATACTTTATAAGTACTCAAGGGCCGTTTCCAAAGATTATTTACATGTTCTTCAGTCCATGAACTATTTACCATGATGGAATCTGTAAACCAGCCAACTAAGCCATAAAGATGTGCAAATAACTGATAGTATACAAGTTTAATATAAGATATTGTTCTACGTTTTCCTTTTTGTAGAATAACTTTATTTATCATGTCTGTACTTATTGTTGGATAATGTACATAGCAACTCACTTTACAACTAGCAATAAGACTAAACAAAGGAAATGTAAACGCATAACCCATAGTATCGACATAAATATCTGGCTGAAACAAACGCAATGCTTCTACACCCAACACAATTGACCCAATACTTTGCCCCAATAGAGTAAAATAAGGGTAATTTTCAGCTTCCACCCATCTTCGTCTGTGTAAATAAATAAACTCTAAATTATTTGGTAGTGTAATATTGAATCGTTGTTTTGCACGTTTGATTATTTCATCGGGCGATACATCTAAATCGCCAGTGTAAATGACAATTTTTACTTTAGGGTATGTAGTACTGATAGCAGTAACAGCACACCATAGAACACGTTCACCACCGCCACCAGCATTACAATAAGGATGGAAAAATGCTATGCTGAATTGAGATGGGCATTTTCTTTTTTTGCTAGCGTAGTGCCATCGTAACCCAATGATAAATATAGATAATATAATAAATACAATACATAATGTAATTAAAGCATACAATAAAATTTGAAAAAACATAATTAATGGTTAAAGATTCATTTTTTTAAATAATATTTTCACATCATAATTATATTTAATCTCAAATAAAACATTTGTCATTGCCCATTAAATCACACAACAATTTGTTTACACGTTTATATAAAGAAAGTTGGTAACAACAAATTACCTCGGTGTTATTCACTAATCACTATATTATAATAACCATATCGTACTCAATGATAATAACTACGGTCATAGATAAGCGTGGATACAAACACTGTTTCATTTATAGTTACGTCATAGCATAGATAATACATGTATTACGGATTAAGATATATCTTAATTCGTGTCTATGAGTCATAAAGTAAGATTACGTCCACGAACTAAGATATACCTATTATAGATCTATTATATATAATAGATATCTTATATACATATATACATGTATATCTTAGTTCGTGTTAAAAACAAAAGTTTTTTTTTTAAGCGTAGACATATTAACAAATTTGTTAATAAAGTTTATAGTCGGGCCGTTCCAGCGGCTCAGTATGCATGCGCAAAAGTGAACATTATTATTCTGAATAGACTATAATAAAATAATAAACAATACAATTTAATATTACAATTTGTAACTGTATGAATAATAAGTTATTAATATTTAAATATTATAATTTTAGAATACTAGATTATTCTTGGTATGTGTATATATTATCTATGTGAATAATATAATATCCATTATTCATATACATTGGCTACACAAATTAATTAGACCTATTATTTTATTTGTTTAAAAAAAAAATGTATATTTATGCAACAAATTATCGACACAATTATGTTTATTGAGTTATAATGTATCGGTATTATAAAAATATTGAATTTCAAATATTGATATTTTTGGTCACAATATCGATATATCGATAATATCTATATCTTTTGCGCATCTTTAACCATAGATGAAGCCATAACCACAAGCTCACTCTCACTATATTTTTTTATTGTCGATCACAGACCACAAGACTTAGATATCTTAGGATATTTTTAGTATTTTGCGGTAGGTTTTTATTCTTATCAGTATTAAAAAATAGCAGAATAATTACTATTTAGAATACTTAAAAATATTAAGACAGTATATTATAATAGGTAAAAATTCTAGACTTCATAACTTTCTTCCCAGAACAAATTTTAAATATATTAGATAGAAAAAATTAAAGTTATTATTTAAACAGCAGTATAATTAAAACCATTTATTTATATAAATTTTTAGCACATTAAATTAAACAGGTTTTTTAAAATAATAACATTACTGTTTATTCTCATATAACACATATAATCATATATTTATATAAATTTTTAGCACATTAAATTAAACAGGTTTTTTAAAATAATAACATTATTGTTTATTCTCATATAACACAGATACGCAGGAATTTTCACAACCTTTTATTAAACAAGACCTGAAACAAATTTAAAATTATTATTGATAATATATTACACAGATCAAGATGGATTAATCAACTTTGAATGAGATATCTGAAGTATTTAATTAAAATGTAAAAAATATATTTTGTAAGGCAGTTTTGAGGTCAGCAAGGTAAGTAGAAGTCAGGAAAAATTGAAAAGTTAGGGTAAAATATAAAAAAGAAACAAGGAGTAACTAAGAAAGACTAATTAAGATATAATTAGTATAATAAGTAGGTAGAATAGGAGTAGAACTAATAATTAACATAAATGGTAAAGGCAATCAATGTAAAAGGAAACAGAGGTTAAAAAGTGATTTGATAATGAAATTAAATGGTGTATTTTAAGAGAATGTTGATAATCAAGCTAAGTGAAAATTGAGAAATAAGGATTAGAGTAATCTTAAATAAAGTTGAGAAAAAAGGTGAAAAATAACTAGAAAACATATCTTATTTATGACAAACATGAAATTAATTTAATTTAAACTTAAAAGTAAATCATTTTTTGGATCTTACTAGTTAAGATGGGATAATGATTACGGTAATAATAATTTTTGTTGATAAATATATTTTGTTAAATGTTATTAAATCTATTAAATACATACTTGTTGTCAGATTTCAATACAATTGTTGGATATGGTTCATTTGTATCTAGTTTTGATATATGATTTGCAATAAATGTAATATGTCCACTAACATCTGATTTCACTCCTCCTGAGGCTTAATTTTTAAATAATGAAAAAATTTAAATAATAAATATTTTAAAAATAGCGTTAAATTGTACACTTACAGAAAATACATAAACCTCTGTTGTCTGATACCAAAACACCAACAACATTATGTTCTGATTGTCTAATTATAAAAATTATAATTTATATAATAATATACAGTTAATTGATATATAAAATAGATTCTATAGTTTAAGACTTAAAACTTATTATTTATCAATAATAAATAGAGCCTGGAATTGTATGCATTTGCATATTTTTATTTATTACATTAAAACCTAGGTAAGACACAACCTTGAATCTTAGCCTAATATGATGGTATGTATAAATTGATTTTTCATATTTGGAACATTTTTGATTATTTCATCATTTTTTAAAAATATGCAAATATTTGTAAAAAAAATAGTATTAAGTTAATTAGTACTAATATCTAACTAAGGACATATTTAAATTTTGGGTTTTTTTAAATTTATATTTACCCATGTATCAACTCAACCTATAAACCAAATGCCAATTGATATATGTTTATCAATGAGCTCACCATATAATAAGATGAAGTTTGTCATAAGTACCACAAAGATAATCCCCAATAATGAGAAACTAGTAATGATTTAGTTCTGTAATACCGTATTTTAAGTTTCATATCAATAGTGTTTTGTTAAAAGAGTGTTCAGTGCATAACACTAAAAATCGAATTTTGGTATCAAAAAAATCAGAAAAATTATGAGCATAAACTGGTAACAGGGCATATTTAAATACAGAAAATTAAGCTGATAATATCAACTAAAAGATATTCAGGTGCTCTTTTAAAATATAATTAAATTAACACTGATTTGTTAAAATGCGTATACCACATTCAATGCATGTATACTTAGTGTACAAGTAATTTTATTGTTCTCCATTTTTAATATTATTATGAAATTTGATAGATGCCCATTTCACAAAATATTGTTGATATTAAAATACCAAAATTAAAATTATTTATTTGTAAATATGTTTTAAAATATAGAAAATATTTGAATACAACTTTATGATATAATTTTAAACTGAATAAATGAATATAATTTGTTTGCATAATTGAATAAAAATAAGTGCATAATTAATTTATACATATTAATACATATTTTGTACGTTTTTAGTGCATATAATTTCGACCTTTAACAATAAAGTTTGCTAGTTTTTATAATGTTGTATTATTACACAAATAGATTTTTCATATATTCCATTTTAATTGCTAGTTACGTAAGTATATTTCTGTCACACAATATCTTCTTTGGTAAAACAATAACTTAATCCAGTAGAACTATATCATAAAAAGTAAATGTATGTATAGATAATTAGGTATTATTATTAATAAAATAATAAAGCAAAAATAATATTATTAGATGTTTAATACTTGTAAATAAATATATAAATAAATAAATGCATTGCCTGGAGTATTATGAAATGTGTATTGTATGACCGGTTTTAGATTAAAAATTAAAAACAGTCATTTATTTATTTATTTATTTATTTATTTATTTATTTATTTATAAGTTTATTATTATTAAATAAGTAACAGGTACTAATTTTTACTTTTTACTTTATTTAACAATATTATCTTACAGTTGTGAAACTTCATCTAATACAGACTGCTCCATGTTTGCTCTATTACATTAATGGTTTGTATAACTTGTTGAAATTTAGCGTATCAGATAATTGATTTACACTGTCAGATATATCTGTAAATTATTAACTTTTAAATGAAAAAAATAAGAATTAAATTTTAATAATATTTTAGAAATGTATAAAAATATTAATAAATAAGAATATTGTTGATAAGTGATATCACCAAATACTTCATATGACTGTTGATAAATTAATAATTGATTTTTAGCAGTAGTACTATGGAACAAGTATTTTATGGGATTACACCAGTTATCTTACTTGATATAGCTATTTTAAAATATAGGTTTTAATGATTTAATGTGGACATAATAATATAATATATTATATTTCAACATTTTCCAAAAATTGATAGTATTCGCAGTTAGCAACATTGATTAGGTATGCCTAATTAATGTTTGCTCAGTTGCTGCAGTTAGCAGGGGTGTAACCCTTTTGTCCCACAAAATACTTGATCTACAGTACTTTTGTTCCGACGAACTTTATTCCACATTTACCATTTGTTCGGTTGGACTTAAGTTCTGCAAAAGTTTCTTTCAATGAACATTTGTTCCATGAATACTTTGATCCACGAGTAAAACGTGGAAAAAGTGTTTTTTTAGAACAAATAGTCATTGGAACAAATGATTTCGGAAGAAATGGTCGTGGAAACAAAAAATTTTGGAAAAAATGTTCACCACAAAATATTTGTTATACAATATATTTGTACCTAAAACAATTTTTTCCATAAATATTTGATTCAACAGACCTATATGCAGAAAATATTTCTTTTAATGGACATTTGTTCTATATATATTATATAAAACGCGGAAAAAGTGTTTTGTATTTGTTCCACAATATATTTTCTCCATAACCCATATATTTAATAATTGACAAAAACCATATTTTCCTCTTTCAATTTAAGTTATCTAAATTGAACCAAACCATTTATAGAATTTAAAGTAACCGTAAAAAACTAATAATATAATTTAACTAATAATTTATAACCCATTACTTATTTATTATTAATTGCAATAACTTTTTTCTAAAAAATGATTTACTGCAAGAAATTTGTATATAGGTTTTAATAAAATATAACTTTGTATTTTCTCATATACTTTTGTACTTTAGTTTTGTAGTTTAGTTTTTTTTTGCTGAAACGATTCTCATTTTAGGTGACTTTCTTTTTATTGAGTTTTTACTTAAATAATGAGGTAAATTGAGAAAAATGGTAGGAACTGCACCTGCTTACAAAATTCATATTGTATATCTTTCCCATCGGGTTCCTTTAAAGCCTTTCCCCTTATAACACAGTCATCGATAAAATGTAATTCGTAAACATGATATTTTCCAGTTTCGATTGGCTCGTGGAATCTTTTTATTTTAAATGTCAATCTGTTACATGGTATAAAAAAAAAACCTTAATCTGTATAAAATGTTAAGAAAAATTATATCTAGTTTCTTGCGGAACAAGAAATATTTTGTATGGTTTCACGTGTATTTTACTTATGTTTTCAGCCTAAATAGAACATACAGCGTTCCTAATTGTGATAGCTATTTGTGATAACATTTTCAAACAAGTAACGACACCTTATTAATAAACCTTGTATCCTAGTAAAACCATTTGATCCTTCCTATGCTCCGATTCTGAAAAATAGGTTAAATAGGTATCTACTTCCTTTTAATTCTTGTCTTCGATGTTTTTATATCGAATTGTCATCAGATACATACAATTTACAAGGAACATCGCAATATATAGGATTGATCTGATTAATCAACGTGTTAAAGTATGGCTTTTAGCAACCGATCATTGAGTCTAATAATGAGGATAACGAGGAACACACGAATACCGTATTACCTCGATTAAATTATTATGAAATTCGGAAATAATTCGGGAAAAAAAAATGTAACGTTAATTTTTTTTCCATGACTAAAATTTGAAATCTTTTAACAATTGTCTGAGAGCGCAAAACATGAACACTCAGAATTCACAATATTTTAAGTTCAGTAATTAGTAAAAATGTCTATTTTTTCTATTTCCATGAATATGGTGTATATTTTATAATCATATATTATAGGTACATATGCTAATAATACATGGAACTAATTTTGACTTACTAAATACTAATGTCTAATTAGTTCATACAAATTAATATAATTAGAGACATCAGAGCATCAGACATATAACTTTTTTATTCTTATTTTTAGAAGAAAAAAGAAATGTTAACATTTTTCTTCCCGAACACCCCTTTTTGCTTAGCACATGTTGGCTGATTTTTTAGCCATGGGAAAAATATATTAAGCGCGAATCTAAACAATTTAACTGTACAGTTAAAAACACACATAATATATTTTTGAACACTCATATTATATTAAAATACGAGTATTTACATACTTAGATTTGACTGTTATTAAAATAAGAGATACAATAATGAGATTTTTTGGAATAAAATATGTATAAAAGTACTTAAAATTTAGAATATAATAATTTTAAATTTACTTTGCATCGCTTTTGTAAGTACGTTTTTATTTTTTTAGATCCAATCGTACTTATAAGGAATTTTATCAGGTATTATGACGTCACACTAATCGTGCGTATAGAATTTTGAAAGTAAGATCGGTAATAAATAGAAACGTCAAACAATTTTAGGATCTGTACAGAACCTTGATAATCTATTATCTATCTATTCTTTATTTTATTATCTAGGCTCTCTAAGGATCTGGGTTGGCAATATATGTACAAAATTAGAGGTCGGGAATAGAATTGGTTAAAAAATACTTTTTAGGTGTTAAGTAGACAATTTATTAAACCATTAAAAGTACTAATCAGGAGTTGTATAGGCAACATTGTCTACAAAATTTGGAACCACTGGGTTTTCTTATCAAATATTGCTAGCGAAAGATACATGTTAATTACGGTTTTGAGAAGTTGTTCGAAGATGATAAGACATTTTTATTACTAACTACCTACATGTAAACCAACGTAACAGAATAAAACATCTCAATTATTTAAAATGTTATGAGTTTATTATTAATATACTATTATTCATGTACGGATTATGCTATTAAAATAATTTGATTTACTATGAGTGATACAGTAGATTGAATTAATTATTGCTAAAAACATTTTCACATAACTGTGTATAATAGTAAATATAAGCAAAAGCTAATAATAATAATAATACTAAAATATTTTCCCAAAAAAGACCTTTTACAAAGAAACAAAAAAAGACATATTAGGTAATGAGGATGGGTGCAGCCACTGTTATAGGTAATTTAATTAATACATATAAGCAACGATAAACCATTGCTTATGAGAAAACGATTGTAAGCAGAGTTTAGATAATAGTGATGCTTTGTCAACAATATACATGCCATATTATAGTAAAATAATTAAATAAGCTTTAAATATTTTCTTTAATAATATTTGTTTAATATTGAACCGATTTTCTCAGTTTTCCTACTTTTTTTCCTATGCTTTCCAAGTTTTTCATATTTACTGGGAAAACGCCTGAGAAAATCGAAAAATAACCTCTGTAAAGTACTAATCCAATCTGATTTCCTTTTAAAAACATAGCTATCATAATAAATTGGAGCAAAATTGCTGGTAGAAAAGTTGTCCACAGGAAAAAAAATCCTATTATATAAATTTATTTCGTACATTTTCCCGTTTTTTTTTTTTTTTTTTTCGATTTTTCACATTTGATTAAAAAAATATTGAGAAAATCGAAAAATGATTTCCTTAAAGTACCTCTCTACTTCGATTTCCTTTCAGAAAAAGTACTACACGTAGAAATCGGACCAAGTTTTCTGGTAGAAAAAAAGTTGTCCATAGGAAAAAATAAACGTGTTTGTAAAACCATAAGCTTTTTCGATCCACGCAGAATCTATAATTACTATAGATACTATAGAAAGTAAAAATTAAACTTACAATAAATATGTAACTATAAGACAAAATTTGTTTATCCCCATATGTCGGAAAAATGATATATTTTATAGTTTATTTAAAGATTTAGCGTACACTGATTGATGTTATTTTAAACATCTCAAATTTATGATAACTAATTTACAAAAAATTTAGTCTTCAAGAGATAAATACATTTCAAATTATTTAACTTAACCTGGCTCTTTAGAGTTAAATTAAATAAAGTTTTAAGTTTATAAGGTTTTATTATAACTTATAACTTTAAAAATTATAACTTAAAAAATAGTATGTAAAAGGTTAGGTAACTTTATCAGTGTAACACATATTTTAAATGTCAAATCATTTTATATTTAAAATAAAAAAATATTATGTTGGTAATAGCAAAATTTCAAAATTATTGTACTCCAAGCTCTTATCATTTTTCGAAAAACTACCGGTCTTTGTCACCCATATACCACGGTTATAGACACTAGGTAGTCAAGATAATAGGATGGTATCTAAAATTGATCTCACATCAGCAGTGTCTTAGTTAACGTGTTTTATTTTAAAATCGTTAAGTTTAATTTTAGTATAACTTGAAATACATACCTACTAAGTAAATACTTAATCTAGCATACTTTATGTTTGTTTTTACAATATTGTAGATCGATAACTATTATATTTTATTCTACTGTATATTCTAAGTTAAATGGTGCTATTTTGGTTTCACTCAAAACCATTTTTTTTTTAAAATATAAATCAAAATGGTTTCTGGCCGTTACGTTCAAAAGTGTCTAGGAATGCGTACCTTAAGCGATCTCGGGTAGATTGCATATAACTACTTTCACGTATATTTATTGCTTATGTAATGTGCGTAACTACTTGCGGGAAATATGATTTGCCGAACAAATTGTTGATAGAACAATAATCTTGTAGAAAGAAATGGTTGCGGGATTTAATTCAGAACAAATGATTTATGATATAAATATTAATGTGAAACATATACTTTGTGGTTAGTGATTATTTGTTCCAATAAATAATTTCAAGCAAATGTTTTGTGGATCAAGATGGATGATTCCATTTTCATAAGTATCACACAAGTATGAAGTTTCAAATGGTAATAAAATGGTAACAGCTTTAACAGATAATTTTTAGTAACAACTTTTTATGGCAATTGAGAACTCCTCAATTTTAACTTTTAAGTGACTCGGACTTAATTTTCAAATCGATTACCATTGATTTGTAGGTCACACGTTGTGAGAACCAGTAACCTTAGTCTAGAACTTTCCGCTGGAGCACTACATATTTATAAAAACTGTCTCACAAAGATATACTCCTTGAATATCTCCAGAGATAATAAAAATAGTCAAATTCTGTTTTTTTAATATTCCTTACAGGGATAATGATTACAAATACATATATTTGAATTAAATTTTTTTTATAGTTAACAAATTTAAAAAAATAACTTTATTTTTAGAAAAATGTTAAGATAGCCATTATGTAGAGTTTATTTTTCTGAAAATATTAATGCATCATACATTTATATCCTATAGTTTCTAAGTAATAGCAGTTTTAAATTATACTAATCCGGGTGAAAATCCATGTAACGCGGTTAAGTTACTCCCTAGATAACATTGATTTTCACATGCATGGATTTGTAGAATTTAAAACGGTTGTTATTTAGAAACTTTCAAAAAAAAATAATAAGTTAATTTTTTTTCTCAAAAAAAAATTTACTTCAAAAATAAATAAATATTTGTTTATGATATATATATATTGTTTATATATGTCTACGATAACACCACTAAAAAAAACAAAACATTTTCATATGTGTAATAATGGTTATTTACAATAAAAAATACAACACGCATAAAAGTGTGAAGGGTCAACAAAGATAAAAATTATAAATAATATAGTTAAATAGAGGAAATATTTTATAATTTCCGACACATTTGGTAAATGTATTGGTCATGTTACAACTCTAAAGTTTAAATCCAGATTCTTTATCCATTCCACCGCTTCTTCCCTCACTAAGTGAATATCTTCCGTGGCGCCTTTAAATGCATGAATCGGACATTCAGCGGTGATGTGTTTAGTCGTTTGGGATTCATAGCTACAATTACGTTTCAGAGTCACGCAATCTCCATTTCAACATCATATGTCCACTCCTCTACCATGGCCTGTCCTGATACGGTTTAGTGTTAATCCGGTATTTATTTGGAGTTAAAATCCTGGTTGTTAGATGGTTGGGGTAGTTTCTGATGTGGTAAGGCCCGCGTAAATGGGGAGGGTAAGATCATTGGCATACTTTTTCTATTCTTGCAAGAGTGCGTGTTCTCTACGTAATTTCGGAAGAGTAATGTTACTAAGCACTGGTATCCATTTTAGCAGTGTGGATTTCGTCAGTCCTTCAATTATTGTACCAATAGCTGCACTAAGGTGTAGCACTAGATACAGGAATTACAATAACTATACAATAAATAAATGTGGATAAGACCCTAGATGAGGATTAAAGAAATCTTTTAATAGTCATATTTTTAGGTTTTTAACTCTTTGCATTTTGTATTTTATATTCCAATAAAATATTTTTCTGAAAATACAGTTTCAATCAAATAATCCCGATTTGTACGCACTCTCTAAAATAGTATTAACACTGGTTTATACAAGTAACAAAAATAAATACCAATAATAATTAATATAATTATTTCTTAAGTTTACATGATGATATTTCTAATAGCATGATCATTGATCAGTTTATTCAACAGTAGTGGTTAAAAATGGGACATTCCTAAAATTAATAAACAAATACAAATAGAAGTGAGAAAATTTGTATTTTTCTAAGAAAAAGTGACTAAAAGTGACTCACTAGCAGTCCTGCTACACTCATTTTGTGTTCTATATTTCTGTATACCACCCAATACTCCGAACCATATAACATTGCTTTGCTGAGATCGGTGAAAAAAAATCAATATAGATACATAATAATATTAAACTAGGTACAACAATCAAAATTAAGGCATACAGATATAGATTATATTCTCGGGTAGGTTTAGTTGGTCGGAAACAATATTACCCCCTCTTACATTGAACATCTTTGAAGGTAAAATAATTAATTGTACTACTGTAACCAATGTACATTACGGCAAGTCTAGATATTCTTAAAATTAAATCAAACGTCTGGAATTTCTTTACAGTGTATACAGAACACCCAAGGTACAAGTAATCTGTAAATAATATTAAAATAATAAACGATATATTATACGATATTCTATCTAGTCAAACACACTATATTTAAAAACACGATTTATCAATTACCCGTGTTTTCTTCTAAAGAAATTATTAACTGAAAGGATTCGCAAGTTGTAATATCCCTACGACCTACCCAAAAGACCCCCAGGCTACAGTTAAAATGTCAATAATAGTAGGTATTATTGATGTTACATTGTTATTTAATTTATTTATAAACAACCAAACGGTTATTAAACCAATTATTATTAATTTCATTATGAAAAAAAAACGACCGTAGTCTGCCACGTGCGTTTTCAGTACAATAATATTCGTATAATTGCGTTATAATAACGGCCGCCGTGTAATAAACGCGCCAGCTCGCGCTTGTGTGCGTGATAATAAAGCTATATGATTTATTGTTGTAGAAGTGTGTGTGTGTTTATTTATTATATTATATACGTCATGATACGAGACCCGGCAAGTAGGTGTGAGAGTACACGGTGGCCGGGGTGGCGGTGACAAATCGTCGGTAATCGGATGAGTTTTATAAACTGTTTTGGCAACACTGGCCGTTTTATGGGATGACGGATCTGTAGCGGCGGCGGTGGTGGTGGTGGTGGCGGCGGCAGCAGGCCAGCAGCAGCAGCAGGTTTATCCTTTCGTGAGTTGTCGTCGTTTGCAAAACAATAAAATGGCCGTTCGATTTTTGTTGTTTGTGTACACGAACACATGCACACACTGACGGGCGCGCGCGCGGCACACACAAACACAAACACACACACACACCTGGACACGGGTAACATTACTACGCGATAGTAGGCGCACGCACGCACAACCGCCAACACAAACACGGACACAAAAACAACCGTACGTACACACACACACACACACACACACGTTCATCATCAATTATGTGGCCGTGCCGCCGACGACTACGACGGATAATAGTAGTAGTGCCCGAAATACGTACCGCCGCCGCGTCGTTGTTTATTGTGAATATCATGTTGTTATGTTGTTGTTATCGGTCGTGGTGTTGTTAATTGCCGTCGGTGTATCGTTGTTGTTGTTGTGCGACGGTCGCAATGTTGTCGTCACCGCTGTGTTAGTGCCGCGCACCGCCATCGAATTATTGTTATTATTATCGTCGTATTATTATGTAACGGAATCGGATCGCCGGACACTGACTGGCGTCGTGCGCGAAACGGTAAGAGTAGTGCGAAAAAAGGAAAATAATATTCTTAGATTAGAAAAAAAAAAAATCATCAACAAACGAACGAATAAACACAAATGAAAAACGTACCGTAACAATATTATTACTGTGGCGGTACCCCACCGCGTTCGCCTTCGTTCGCCCTGTACACAGAAGCGCGTATTTTCGCCGGAACGTCCTGCATATGATTTCTAGTATGTAGTGCTGCTACGTACCGCGGTTATTGCGTTCTCGACTGAACCGTTTATTTATCTCGCTCTGTACGTCCTGTCCCCGTGACTGATCGCCGGCCGGACCATTGTTTTTGTTATTATAGCGGCGTTGATAAAATACGTCGTGTGTTTATATTGATTGTGTAGCACCGACGTAACGCGCACAATATTCGAATATTGTGGGATACCCGTTAAAAAAAAAAAAAAAAGTTCGCCGGATAACGTAAAAATACGTTATCCGTGCAATCGCTAGTGATTGTTTTTCGTCGAAGACCCTGATAATACAAACATCTATTTAATACCTATTAAACCGTAGAAGTGATAGATAGACGTCCGCTAAGGATTGAATGTCAACATCAAGTCCGCGTGCATTTTTTAGGTAGGTCTTAAATGCTTATTTTTGTTTTCGTGTTCGTGTGTAATGCTCGTTTTGTATTTAAAGAATGTTTATTTGTTAAAGAAGATGGCCTAATATAATTGGAAATTGTATTTATTTCATTGTGATGTTTGAAGTATTTAGATTTGTATTATATTTACTTTAATATTATGTTTATAAACTTACAAAATTGCTTTATTTTTATGAGTTATTTTGATTGCTTTATTTTGTTTGTTTACAGCTTAAACTTGAACGTAATTTTGTAATTATCACCTAGATTTTTTTCTAATACCATTCTATCGTTTAACATTTTTCAAGTTAAATTTACTTAACCAAATTCTCAGCTGATTTATTGTGTACCATTAATGCATTTGTTCTTAGAAAATCCTTGGGAATATTTGAATTTGATATCAATGCTTTTCAAGCGTATACAATAATATTTTACATACATATTTGTTTTGTTGGGTTTGTATTTTGTAATATTATTAAAAGTACTTAATTATAAACACAAATAGTAAATCAAAATGAATGTAGTTTTAAAACTACAAACCTGATGCATTTTCTTCTGAAATATAAATTACAAGATATTTACTATTGACAAAAATTCATGCATATTATTAAAATTGACATTTTAGGTGTATAAAGCGTAATTGAATGTATGGTGTGTGCTGCAGACTGGAAGGCACCGTGGATTCTATACCACAGGGCCTATTAGACGGCCGCCCTGCCAGTTCACTAGTTCTTACTCATCATCAGGTATACAATTTATAAATTGTTAATTACTTAACCTAGTTGTGTGTATTGGAAAACAATTCAGGAGGGTTAAACAAATTGAACTATAGAACTAATAAAATAGAATGCCCTAGAATGTAACATTTTTTTTTTAATTTCGGAGAAGTGGTTGAACCACTGTATCCATACTCGCACTTTATATTTTGTTATTGCCTGTTGTACTTATCTATTTATTTCAAATTGATTGTAAACATTTTTAATAGTATCAACAATTACAACATATACAAGCACAACAAGAACAAGCTGCTGCAGGAGGATTAACACTAACACTTCATCATCAAACTACAGTAAATACCCATTTATAATAAGTGTATAATAATTTTTATTTTACAATAATAATTATTATTGTCAGGGTACAGGAACTAACGGTGTACTTTCGGGAGCACCTCAAATAGTTCTTGCAACTTCTCAGGGACAAGGGCTAACAACTTTTCCATCAGGAACAACTCAACAAGCTGCAACATTACATCAACATACAAGTATTCAACAAGTTTTACATCAACATGTTCAACATTCAAACATTCTTCACTCAACAAGCATACGACAGGTAAATATTTTATACTTTAACCTAATTTTATAAATTCAATCAAAAAACAATAATTAATGAGGCTTACAATGTATAAAATTCAATGCATTTACCAGGTACTTGCATATTTTTATTATTTAGTTTTAATTTTGATTATTAATTTATTTTTTATGAAAGATTTTAGTAAATATAACCTAAAAATAATTTAATGCTTTTGTTAAAAGTTTATACATCATGATATTTAAATGTATTATTTTTTTATTATATTAGTTAATAAATAATTTTTGATTTTTAAGATGGGTGCCCAACAGCACACATCTGGTACAATGGTTCAACAACAACAGGCTACAGCAATATTGGATACAACAAATACTAAATGTATACCACCCTCTCCTTCATCGCCATTTTCTTCTCGCTCACTTACCCCCTCTCCACAACAGAGAGTTATTACTCCCCAACCTCAAGTTATCCATCAGGTGAATAACTGTTATTATAAAGTAGATATTAGTAGTAAACAATAATTTGTAATTAAATATTTTTAATATCATTCAGATGATGAGTGCTAATGGACCAGTTTTACAATTTATTCAACCAAATAGTCGAAATAATGTAAATAATGTACAAGTAAAAAGTAAACCACCACCCCAAATATTGCCTAAACCAATAAGCAATAATAATCATGTACAGAACCATGCTAGTATTAATAGTATGAAGTCACAACAATCACATCATTCAACCTCTATTCATAGTCAACAACAAGGTGCTTTTTTAATAAATCAAGTGAGTTTTTGTTTTATTTTTGAACATTTAATATGTATGTTTTCGTTAAGATTAAATTAACACAATTAGCTAAAATAAAATATATTGCTGTATTTACAAAAAAATATAGGTATATAATATATATATATATTTTTAAAAATCATATTAGATTATGCCAACTGCTGGTGTTATAGTTGGTCCACAAACAACTGGTGGTCTTCAGCTTATTCTCCGATCCCCTAACACTCAAAATAATAATACTCAACAAGCTCAAGTCACATGTAATGGTACTCAAATATTACTACAACAACCTAGACAACAATCAAATCAGGTTAGTAATATTTTTTTTTTTTTTTAAATAATAAGTATTAAATCAAAACATTTTAATATAAGGTTGTAAGGTTGGTAAGTGGTCAGAGTGTTCAATTACAGCAAATTCAAACATGTTCGGGTCCAGCATTAGTTGCATTATCATCTTCAAATCCTCAATCCACAATAACTCAGTCATCAAATAATAGGCCAATGAATATTAAGAAAAAAAGACAAAAAATTCATTCAAGGGCACTTGATGATGAACCAGTACGATTAGATCTGGCAAATCTAATCAAAATATCAGGTTGGTATTAAATATAAATACCATTTGTGGTTATAAATGAACCACTCATTTTGTGTAGGTATTGATGAAGAAGACTCTGGTAATACTGCAATGCAACAATCTCATATAAATCATACCAATAGAATTCAACAAACACCAACACCTCCGCCACAATCTCATCAACAGTCCACACCTTTATTAGCTCAATTACAAACTCCTACTTCTTCATCTCAGGTAAATAATACTTATAATTAGATTAACATTTTCAATTTGGATCTAATAGCAACTTGAATATAATTCCAGGGTGGTTTCCGATTATCTTTGGGAGAAGATGGCCGTATGATTGTACATCAACCACAGATTAATACTAATACCCTAACTCAGGTAATACTTTAGATAGTATTAAAACATTATTTGTATTAGAAAGTTAATCAATATATATCACCAAGTCAATAATATTCCTATTTCCACAATCATAAAATTCAAGTACTCCTAATAATTGACAGATGACCAACACGGAATCCCCACATCCATGGCAAAAATTAGCTATAAATCAGCGTCTTAGAGCCCTTCAACTTCCAATCGACGAACAAGCTAAAACCGACTTCCACAATAATTTAGTAATATATAATTCTTATTAAACCCATATGGCATTGAACTTTAGGATTCAACCTAAATATGTAGTATTAATAAAATGTATACTCAATAATACAAGATTTTTAAATTTATTCTTAAGGCATTCCATAATTCTTATAAATGAAGATATGATACATTAATATATTCCTTTCCCTAATACAGTCACTGACAAACCTTCTTAGCATAATATAAAAATATCTAATAACTACTACTACTATTATCTCCTAAAATCTTTCATTAAAAATTTTTCTTCCTTACACAGGAAATTATCAGCTATTTGAATTAGTAGTGTTACAGAGTTTCTTAGATCATTTTAAAGCCTTTTTTTTTTAATCCAACTTTATAATTTTTTCTTTATTCATATAAGAGACAACATGTTTAAAAAATATCCAGGTGGTCATTCATCAGATAACTACTAATGTTTGGCATAACTTCATTGACACCGTGCCATGTCGTCTCCTAAATTTATTTTTCGAAATGAACAAATCTTCCATAAATTAATAACAGTCAGCAAAAATACTATTTATGGTTGGTTTTTTTTCTTAAGTTACATATTATAATTCCACCTAATGCTTGTTTGTACCTTTGATATAGATAATATTTTTTTTTGTTTTAAACAAAAACTTTTGTATGTATTTTTGTTTTTATTATTCTTATTCAATGAATGTCCTCTAAAATAATTTATTAGTTTGGTAAATTAATAGAATGCCAATATTATTTATTTATTTTTTTAGTAGTTTTTTTTTATTTGTGCATCTCATAATGATACTTTTTTATTTGTATTCTTGAGTAATAATTAATAATTATGTATTTTTTAATTCTACTATTTATGTAAAAGAATAATGGTTTTAATTTATAGAGTGTTTCCGCAAGTGTAGCTGCCGCAGCACAAACTCAGCTTGCTCAGTTAGTTGCTGATCATGGTGGTCATATTCTTCAAAACGCTGTCTTGAGTGTTGCTGGTGCTGAATCATTGCTTCTTAAAGGAAGTAATACAATGTTACCAACTCAACCACAAAATGGTTCTGGTATGCGTATTTTGGCGGATGTTTCTGGTCGTCTCCAAATTGTTACTGTATTAGAACCACAATCGGTACAACAAAATATTATTAACGGTCAACATTTAATGTTTCCTGCTAATGGCACTCCTGTAAGTGTTGAAAATAGACAAAATCATCAACAATTTGTCATGTCCACACCAGTTGAAGATCAACAGAATAAAGTTGTGCAACAAAATAATAGTATTCGAGTAATGCATAGCAGTAGTACAATGGTTTCAAGTTTAGATCATCAACAAAATAGTAGTATCCAACTTGTTTCTAATATGTTGGATAGTCGGTTATTAGTGGCAGCTAATAATGATTCCTCAGCAAACAATGACATATTATTTAATGAAGAACAAAATCGATTACAAATAGTAACCAATTCATCTACATTAAATAAAAATGTAGAACTACAAAATCAGCCTCCAATAATTCATACTTCTGAAAGAGTAATGCAAACTTCAATATCAAGGTCTAAAACTGTGCCAGTATCATCCCATAGTCCTAGAAGTATTCAATCTGTGATAAGTCCTCAATGTAGCCCAGCTATGTCTCATAGTTCTAGAAGTAATTCTAAAAGTCCTGCTTCCTATAATTCTCCTATACCTTCACCAAATATTTCTCAGTCTTTTACACCAATGTTGCCAAATAGGCCAAATTTAACTATTGTTACATCTCCACAACAAAGCAATATGCAATTTTCTAAACCGTGTGCTGCTATTATTTCACAATCAAATGAAAACCATATGATGTTATCTAATTACCATACATCTCTAATTAACAGAACAAATAATAAAAGTCCGGTTGCAGTTACGTCAAAAATATTCAGGCCAAATAGTCCTCCTAAAGCTTCTATTCCATTGGAAGTTCAATCACAAAATGCATTTTTAGATAGTATTGCTCAATCTCACCCAAACATACTGATCAATAAAACTATGGTTGTTCCACCGTGTGCCAATAAAACACCTATTAAACCAAGAAAAGTAAAACGAGCTGCTGTTGTGAAACCAATGGTATTTCAATGTGATGACAAAGAGAAAGAACACCATGATACACCAGTTCCACTAAATTCACCTGAGAGTAGTATTTCAAATCAAAGGGTTAAAACTATTCAGCTCACACCACAAAAACAACAGGTGAGTTAGCAAATTTTTTATTTTTATATGTTTTTAATTTTAAATCTGCAACTGAACTAAAATTGATAGTTAACAAGTATTTTTCTCAAACATATGGCGATTTAAAAAAAAATTGTATTTTTCATTTTTATGCAATTTTTTGAGGGATTAGTTTTGAAAATTCAAATGACGCCTAACTTTTTAAGTCTGCTGTACATCTTTGAATTCAAAATAATGTATTTGGTAATAAAATGACCAGAAAAATTGGGTCACATATTATACAATCATAGTTTTTTTAAAAACTGAATTGCTAATAGTAATAAAGTTAATACTTAAAAATGATTTCCAATTACGAAAGTTGTTTAAAAAAAAAAGATTTAATGAAAATATTATCTGAAAGGTAGTTGAAATAATTATAATATTATAAATATATAAATGTTATTAAAATTTTAAACCTAAATATTTAAAAATATTTGATCTTTTATTGAAATTTAGATGATATATTTTCATAAAAAACATTTTTCCGTTTTATATATATTTTTAAATAAAATAGTTTTGACATTAATCGGAAACTGACCTTTTTAAATTTTAGTTGCTGAAAGCTGTACAAAATCAAATTTCTACTCTAAGTGCAAAAAAATACCGTACGAGTTGTGAACAGACAGCTTTACAAAGACTATTTAATGAACAACAGAAAATTTTACAATGTGGCAAAATTGTTCCTACACTGTCTGGACAAAATTCTCAAGGAATTACCTATGTAAGACATTTAAAATTGCATTTATAGAAATAAATAACTATTATATTTAATATACTCTATAAATATTATGACAAATACAAATATGACACAAAAAATATACTTCCAATTATAAAATCCATTTTTAACTTCTAAGTGAGCTTGGTACACTCGGAGGTAATTTTTGTGATGACTTTTTGTATCTTGATTCTGTTATTTAACTTTTTTTTTTATTGTGGTCCAGTTAAAAATAATTCAAGATACCTGAAGTTTTTTAAAATTATTATATTAGCTCTTTCTGAACCCTATAAAAATATTCTGTTATTTTTGAGTTAATCGTAGCTTTTTATGTAGTTTTTTAATTTTACGAGTTTATTTGTATTATTCGGTTTATGTAAATAATTGTTTGATTTATCAAAATGCTCAAAAATTTGATACAAGCTTAAGTTATTCTTATGGCACTATATACACATTAAAATTCCTTATTTAAAATTGTATTTATAAGAGTTTGATGAAGTATACTGATAAAAATCTTAAAAAAAAATAATCACATTTTATGTATTTTCCAACTAATGTGAATTCAACTTTTTAACCACTTAAAAATTATTGACAAAAAAACACAGATAATTGCTATTTGTTAATATTATAAATTAATATTTTTTTAAGGTCTCTACACCAGTAAGATTAGTGCCACCTCCTTGCCCTATGTCATCAAGTCCACCACATACCTTGTCACCTCCTCTAGCAGTACAAACATCAACAGTTGTTTCTCCTCCAACTAGTAATAAAGCAACGTCTCCCTTACATGTACAAGTGAGTAGTTGTGTTACTTAATATTAATTAACTTATATTATTTTATTTACACAATGGTGGTTGTCAAAAAAAAAAAAAAAAATTGATTAAATCCACAAATCTTATTATAATGAACACAATCAGCTCAGAAATGAAATTAATTTTATTTTGACTTTAATTTTTCACAAATTATGTTTAAAAATCAATAAATTGAAAAGTATTCAAAACGATTGTTATTGGCGGGAATTAAATCTTTTCTGGTTTAGTGGGTTACCCATATATGTGTTCATGGTTACCACTGACTGAAATCACGTCTTATCATATATCTCAGATTGATAACGTTTTTAACAAGTTCTTATCAGTATGGTAACCTTAGTATAACTGATGTTTGGTAACACACATTTGAATTGATGCAAATTCTGATTGTTTTAAACTAGGTAAATTTTAAAACAAAATAATCAAATCCTAAAATAATAATAAAAAAAGCTATTTTTTTAATCAAACAAAACTATAGAATTTGAGAAAAATGTTGATAACCCCCATTATGTTTGAAGTGATAATTTGATGATGGGTGTTTATTTGTGTTTTGTATTAAAGAGTTAAGAATTGGAACAAAAACAATTTAAACTGATGTATTGATCACAGTAATTATGATAAAATATTTAGATATTTAACTGTTTTATGTTGTCTTTTTTTACCCAAAACAGGCAAATACATTTAATACACTTTTTTATTCTATTTACAATAAATTTTATATTCGTGTACAAAGGTGTAACATGGTCATCTGGCACCTGAAATAACTTGTTCTGTTCAATATTAGTAAATTGTGTATTAATAGTTTTCTAATAATTCCTAGAACACCACGGTATGATTCATTTATTTTATTTTTTATACCAAGAATACTAATTTTAAATTTTTAAAATGTTGGTTTTTATAAAATCCTAGAAATCTATTTATAAATAGTATTCTGAAACAAAATTTCAGTGATACCAATATTTACTGATACATTTTTGAAACTTTAAAATCATTAGCAAAATTATTTTTTATTGAAAAATGTGTAACGACTACAAGTATTACACAGAGGAGACTGAAGATTTTCGTAATAAAGTCTGGGGGAAGAATATGTGACTTGGTTATAGTTACGAAGACAGGCAAGTGATGTAGAAAGTATATCCAAGAACTGCAAGAGAAACTGAAAATGACAACAATAAATAAGTTCTTAAAAAGCCAGAGACTACAATTGACATGCAATGAGGCTTAGTACAAATGCAGCAATCAGGATAATACTAGATTAGAAGCCAGAAGGAAAAAAACACGGTTTCGCCTTCAGAAAAGGTGAATTGGAAAAAGATTTGGAAGACCTGGAAGGAATTGTGGGATCGGAAAGTGATAGTTTAGGATTATTACAGGTGGGATGATTTGGCGATGCAAAAGCTCTTGGAGAGTAATAGAAGCCATAAGAAGACTATTGAAAAATGTGAATTGTTGCTATATAATAGTGGTGGTTATGGGTACAATTTAAATTATGTTTAACTTAAACAAATTGTAAAACACCAGAATTTTGTTTCAATTTATATTAAATATTTATTAATTCATTTATAAAATGGTTATGTTGAATTTTTTTAAAAACAATTTTAAAAAAAAGTATTTAATTGTTTTTGGTTTACAACAAAAAGTGTAAAACATAAGAATTAAAGTGTAAGGCTCAAGTTATTGTAACAAGAAAATACAACCTAACAACCTACAGAATGATTAATTAAGCATGCACACTTCATTTTTATGGTTAAATTTTGCATTTATTAAAATTTCAATTTTTGGAATTTATAACTAGTTAAAGCTGATATTTTCTATTAGTTAGTTTTTTCTCAGCATTTAAAAAGTATTCTGTTCAATACTGTGATTTTTCAAATGAAATCTTGCACATGTAATTAAAATTTAAATAAAATGATTATGATTTATCCTACTTAAAAATACTAAAGATACCAGTCTAAAAATCTTATTTGTATAGAAGTATGGCGACTATTATTTTTATAGTACTCCACTACTTTCCCTCTACCTAAATTTAAAAGTAAAATACCTTGTCATTAGGTTGTTGGAAACTGACATTTTCTACACCAAAATTTATTTAAACTTATACCCTATTTAGGTATGGGAATTTTTTGATATATCTTTCATTTGAAATATCTGCTTTTTTTACATATGCAAAATGTAACCATAACAAATGGGGAGAGTATACTTAATGATTAACCTGAATATTGTTCAGAACAAAAATTATTTCAGGTGTTAAATCTATGTGTTAGATTCTGTATAATAAATTATGAATATATTTTTTTTTTTTTATCTGAAATTAAACTACTCTTCTAAAGCAGAATTAATTGTTATTTTATTGTTTATTAGTTCAATTTTTTAAATAAGGTTAATTTAATTTCAGTAATAATATAACAAAAGCCCAGTTTTTAATATAGTTATAGGCAAAACTTGAAAAAATATTGGTAGACAAATTACTTTAAGAAATTTTTCTAACTTGAAACTATTATTAATTTTTATTATTTTGAATTATATTTTATAAAGGTGGGTACTCAAACGTCTTGTGAACCTTCTCCAACTCTTCCTGCATTTAGTGCTTCAAAACGAATTTCATTGTAAGTATTTAGATTATATTAATGTTACTTTACATAAATTTATCTGTAAAAATTATTGTTGTTTTAGAATTTCTGAACGAAAAGCAGCAGATCAACTTGGTGCAACTAATCCGGATGTTGTCACACCATTTAGTTCGGCAAGTGATGCTGTAAAACGATTATCACGATATCATTGTTTAAATGATGCTGTGCTATCAGAAAGAGATTTAGAGTTGGCTGATGAAATATTTGAATCGACAGCCAAACATTTGTTAGATAAAAAAGCATCATTATTCAATAAATATCGTTACCTATTATTTAAAGAAAGCATGGTGAGCATCAAACTGAAATTGTCATTTATAATATTTAAACTTAATATATATTTTATTTTTTCTATATTAGCGGGAAGTACAAACATCTGAATTAATTATGTTGGGGCGATTATTTGATGCTGATGAATCCGCACAATTACAACAATTGAAACAAAATTTAACATCAAATTCAATCAATACATCAACAAGTAAATTATTTTAAATTGTGTAAATGCTACAATAAGAGTTCATTTATTTATTTATGCCTTTGGGTTTTTTATTTCTAGGTTGTAATGATTCCATATCTAAAAAACGGGAACATCCACCAGAGGATGAACCGGTTACATCAGAAAACAAACGCCATTGCCCTGATGATGAAGAAATAAATGCACAGGTGCAAAGCGCCATAGACAGTATTTTGAATTTGCAACGCAGCGATCCAGCAACGGATGAGGCGGTGCGCAGCATTTTACCGTCCTAGCATACTGGTCATAGGAAATGTTTGACCACAGTGTGAACACTAAAATATTGGTTCCTCAGTGTACGGATTTCCTAATTGCGATATTGGTAATATTTGACTGTGTTAATATTAATTAAAATTTTCTTTTTCCTTTCTTTTTTATATAATTATTTTTTCTCTAAAATACCTTACACTTAACTAATCAAATGTTTAAGAAAACCATATGCTAAGATAGAAATATAAGTTACTGTAAGGATGGGCTAAACTAATTCTAAAAACTGAATAATTTACTAATAATTGTGTTGTTACCAAATTGAATTATTTTACTTCCAAATATTTAAAATATCATCTAGTCTCTACATTTTTCATCACATCACATATTTTGTTACTATGACTATGAGTTACAATAATATTTATTGATTATAATTTAATAAGATTTAAATAAATCATCTACCTTTTGCTTGGTTAGGTATAATTAGTATATTTTTTTTATTTTACAGTACTAAAAAATATTAAGTCATATTGCTTTTTATAGTGTTTTTTTTTGGTATTAATCTTTCAGTGATGTATTTATTTTCCGATAAATAATATTTATAAGAACTAAAAAAAAAAATCAAGAATAATTTGTTTTATTTCATAAATTAAAAATTTGAACATTTTATTTTATCAATGTGTTTTTACCATTTTTATATAAATTAATAATAATTCAGTGTAATCATCTAAACAATTTGCGTATAATATTTATATATATTAGATATTATATAAATATTTTATTTTCTTACTTCCTTTTATATTTTGTATACCATTTAAAATTAATATTCAAATGTAAGTCATTATATGGGTTATTGGTTATTTTAACCCTTGAATTACTACTACAAATAACTTAAAATTGTTACTCTATACAAATACTTTTAATATAATATATAACATTGGTGTTTTTAAAAAAAAGTCTTAAAGTATTCCAAACTTATGTATACTCTTGTAAAATCGCTGATGATTATTGTTTAAATTAAGCAAATCATTTGAAATGATCTTTCAATTGTGTAATTTAACTTCAAAATTAGTGATGTTTTTTTTTTTTTTTTTTTTTCAAATATTATTTCCTCAATCGTTTAAATTTATTTTATAGGATATAAATACTAAACGATATTATAAATAATAATATATATATTTTTTTTAAAATTTAAAGTTGTTCAAAATAAAATTTACTGTGAATGTACCTATTATGATTTGGTAGTTTTATAGTTCTTATCAAGTTTGACTTTTGGGTTTAGAGGTTCAGTTATGGAGGTAATGATGACAACATCCAAATTTTTTTTAAATTAATTTTAGTTGTCAAAACCAAAAAATAAATTAAATCAAAAGAGACACTGTATCAATAAAAACAAGCTACATTCTCTGTATATATTTTTCTTATCAGCATACTATTTATATAGTATTTTATTTTTAAGATCGTAACAGAAAACTAAGTTCACATGTATGCCTTTACAATTTCTAAATAGTAACTAATTTTATAAAGTTGTTATTTACAAATTAAAATATATTTGATCAATATGGTAATTTATATTTATATTTATCCATGTGCTAAATCTGTGAATTTGGATAGGGTATTAAGTTGCATTAATTTGAGGCTATAAGTGAATTATGTACTAAGAAAATGTATGTTTAGTTTTTATATGATTCATATAATACCAATGTTATTAAATTTTTTTTTAATATCGTATATCTAGAAAAAAATCAAATTTTGATGAAAAATTATTTTTTTTTTCTTTTTATATATAATACGAATAATTATCATTTTTACCTTAACTTAAAAAAATTTAATCGTGATATAACGGTCTTGGAACATATTTTCTAAGACTGATCATGGTTCTTTCCATAAAAAAAATAAATGATTCTTACTATCATTTTGTTAAAATCGTTATTATATTATGTATGTAATAGCATCAATAACACGTGTCATTTTTATAACTATTTTAAAATTTTATTTTTTTTGTAATTTAATTTATCTTAATTTGGTTTTATTCCCTAAATCTCCTATATCAAAACCATCACCCTATTTCACATAAATCTACTAAAATATTACATGTATAATACCGTATAATGCTAACTCTGATTAGTGATTCAAAGTTTTTAGAAATTATATATTTTTGATGCACTATGTCTGCACGTGAGTAATTGCCGTCCCAAATATATTTATACCACACTGAAGGCTTTATTTAAAGTTAGTGTGTGTAGCATTGTGCATCAAATATTGAGTTTCTATAGATGGTAAATCTTTGTTGTGCAGATAGTTTGACATTGGGAGTTTTAGTTCCCAGGTAAGACAGTAGTGAGAGATATGGAATAGAAAAATTTGATTAATAGAAGTGACAGAAAATTCAGATAGAAAAATATAAAATATGCTTGAGATTTAAGCCATTATAGAATTAAATATATTTTTTACAAAAAGTCATGGGTGTAATTTTAATTTCAAACTTAACTTTTTAAAAATACTAAACACCAATTTATTTTAGATAAGTACAGTTATATTTTAGTAAATTTATTGAGAAAAGTACTATACATCTGATTTTAATATTTCTATTTAAAGAAAAAAACAACAAAAATGTTTAAGAGATTTTATTATCAATCAACAAAAAGCATATAAAATTTACACAAGTATATGAAATAAATATAATAAACTAATAAGCATGTAGAAAAAATAATTTAGGTTGGTGTAATTAACTTTAATGTTTCAGGCTAATTGTTTTTTTCATATTTGTATTATATTACATATTATATATATATATTTTTTTATATTTATTTTATTACTTTAAACTCATTCTAAAGTGTTATAAATTCAAAGATAAATGTTATCTATTTATTTTCATGTTAAGATGATAATCAATTTTTAAATATTTTCTATTGTTTGTATATATCTGAATATAAAATCTGTTATGAATATAAAATAGTAATAAATTCAAATGTATATCCTAAAGTCATAATAGAAATGTAACGAAATAAATTGATACTCAATAAAAATTTAGAAAAACAATGTCTAACTAATTGGATGATAATATAATTTTTAAGTTTAAACATTGCATGAATATTCAATATAAATTTCATTATTTTACAAATATTTTATTACAATAGATTCTACAATAATAAATCAGTTTGTACCTAACCTTACCTTATATCAATGTAACACGATAATTATTAACTAACCATTTATTTTAAATTCAAATTGCTATCCACATTTTTTCTAAGCCCATCCTTGCTTTTGTTTGCACCTAAGTCACAATATTTGAAGTATAAAAATTGTTATTCTTTTAAAGCATCACATAGTTAACTTAAATTCACTTGACATCTTAAAATCTATTTGATAGTTGTAAACATATGATTATTTTCTTTTTTTTTATTTAATTTATGATTTTATTTCTTCTGGCAACTATCCTCGCTTTAGTTTTAGACTTTAAATATTATTTTATGTATCTTACTGATATTAGGTTCAATGTGAAAATTGCCTTTGGCCAATTATGATTAAAACTAGATAAATATTTTAGCCTCTTGGTTATCAAAATGTGTTGCAACTATAGAAAATAAAATGTTTTAGTAATCACACTGGTTCAATATTTATTGTTTAGTGTTTATACCTTAATAACATTACAATCATTAATATTATTTCTGTTGAAATGTATTTTAAATATTTGCAACAATAATTTAATAGAAGGCTAGAATATTTTTCTTTTTTTCATTTCCCAACTATTTAGTTACCAAAAGCATTTATAAGTTTTAAACAAAGATTGTAGTTTTCCTTTTATGCAAAATATTAAATTGTTTGTCAACTGATTCACTTGATGTAAAGTAAAATGTTTTTTTTATATATATATAAATTATTATTTTAATGAACAACAAATATATTCCACAGGGTAATTTCAAAAACCTATAATAATTTTTTAATATTTATTCACTTTAGTCAAGTGGTACTTAAATATAAACTAATGTAACTCACTTAATGAGTAGTATTTTATAATATGCACGTATGTTTTTTCTACGTGTCTTGTATAAGATCTCAAAAGCACAAATCTATAGAATTTGGGCAAAAATCTATATTCTAGATGAACATTTTACATTTTGCCATTAATTATATATATATGCATATATATTTTTTTTTAATTTATTCTAAAGTTACTTTATTTGTATAATTGTTTAGTTTAAGTATGTATTTGTAAATTATTATTGTGCTTAAAATAATGTTTTGTTGTGTATATAATTATTTTAAAATAAAATTGTGAATTATTGTAATAATTTTGAATACTTGACACATAAATAAATAGAAATGAATTATATTAAAAATATTCACAAGTTGAAGTGTGTTGATAATCCAAAAGAGTATGTAACATATTGATATTAATATTAATTTTTTTTTACGTTTTATTAAATTTTTAAACTTTATTGAGAAAATCTACAAATAAAGTAAATTTTCTTCAAAAGTAATTACTATAAATTAATATTTATTATATTGCAAGATGCTCATTGTTTTTAAATTTAAATTTAAACATTACTGTAATAGAAAACAAGAATGTAAGATACCTACTCATAAAGAAAAGTCATGGTTTGTTCTTTATAGTTTTGTAATACAACACAAGACTAGTGTCATAAGTCAATTAAGACCTACCTGTGTCTAATTATATTAAAAATAATATGTATTCGTGTAATTGAAGGATCAGATTAGCAGAGAATCTCATAGTTTGTAATTATAATTTAATATGTACCTAGTCCAGTTAATTAAGCTACAAAAAAAATGTTTAACTAAATTTAATTGAAAAGTCTTGAAAATTTGGTAATGGGATCCTAAATTTCCAAAAAAGTAAGGTGCTATCCCTCCAAATGTGTTAATCCTCCCAAATTTGTGGTATTCACAATTGTATTAAATTCTTATTACTTCCACCAAATAACATTTTTCCTTAATCCTGAATTTTCTCTAGGTACCTACATACATTACGTTATTAGATAGTACTTGCGCTCTTCTAATTACCAAATAATATTCATTATTACTCTAATCCAGTGGTTCTTGACCTTTCATATCCGTGTATCATTTACACATTTTGAAATTTTTCACATACCACTTGACTAACTAGATTATTATCATTTTTTTTTTTTAATTATTAAAAAATAAAATATGTACATATATTACATATATATTTTATATAATATGGAGCTTTCTATTATTGAATCTACATAATAATAAGTATTTAATACACAAAAGTAAAATTAAATATGTACAGTTATTATTTTTATTATTATTTATGGGTTAATGAACTATATTATAAATTTATAACTAATAACTTTTTTTTCACTTATCCAAAAATTTCTTTTTATACCCTTTACGAGCTTCCTGCATACCACAGGTTGAGAATTTCTTTAAGCAAATTGTTTGAAAATAATTTAAACAAATGGCATAATAATAGTAATATTAATAATAGTAATATTATTAATTTTAATTTGAGTTTATATTGAGCCACTTCCCCTTTAACACGGCTCTGTTGTTCATTTCTAGTTGTTTTCCATCCCTAATATTTAGCAATTTCATCATTTCCATACCACATTTGGACCAGGTAATATATTTGATATAAGTAAATGTTTTAAAGTTTTTTTTATAGAGGCAATAAATAAGACTATAGAGGCATTTCAAAAATTTGAATTGTTCTTTAGATTTTATTTTCGGATGAAAGGTAAATATCTAAATTCATTAATTTTGTTAATGATTTTGCGGTGTACCATATAATTTCAATGTATATCAGGCTTTAAACATGTTTCCTAATGTGGATTTTGGGCTTAAATAATAAATACACTACAATATGATACTAAAAAAAAGAAAATATTACGAACAAATGCTTGATAATTTGAGTTGTTTATTTGTTATTTTAATTATGCTTATCCACAATAAATCTATCTACTTCTTGTTTTCAACTGGCCAGCCTTGTTTTAAACTTTCACTTGACCCGATCTCCCACCTAGAATACACCAGCATGTCACATCTTCTTTTTCAGTCTTCCTCTCCAGCTCTTTTCTCATTTTCATTATAATTCTTAATGCTTCAATCTCAGTCTCATTTTGTCTTATTATCAAAAATCACGCTTAAGCTATCTCTTATGTACTTATTCCTTATCCTATTTTATTTGTCGCTCCTCATTCACCTAAGCATTCTCATGCCTGTTCCACTCATTCTCTTTTCTATTTTTCTGGTTACTGATCAGCACTCCATACCATACAATGTAGTCAGTGTCACCACATTTTTATAAACTTACTTAAACTCTCATTGGAATTCTCATGTCATATAAAACACCTGATACTTCTCTCCACTTGATCCAATAACACTTAATCCTATATTTCACATCCTAATCAAAACCACCATTATTTTCTTTAAAAGATCCTAGATAGTTAAAACTCTTAACTCTCTCCTATTCTCATTAGCTATTATAGAATCGGGTTGAACATAAATTGAATTTATAATTATTAATACAACTCATGTGCATCCGAGCCTAAATTAATTTGCATATTATTTGTATTTGGTTGAAACTAAGTAATATGATTTATCCGGATTACAGGTCTCCTTTACAATACAATTGTATAGTGTTATTCTATTTAGAAACTGATGAGGAATTAGAATATATATAAATATAATATATCTCTGAATATATTTATTTAAGTTTTTAGTGCTTTTGTTTAAATTCACTATTTAATACCTACATGTTCATAATAATTATCAGGACTAGGATTTATATGCAACAGCATGTTTTTTTTGCAACATCTGATTATTGATTTTGTCAGTAATTTCCACGAATCTCCTCATGATGAGGTAAGCGGCGGTGTTTTTATTTTTCATGTTTTTGCATATTTTGGATAAAATGCATATTATTGTATATATTGAATAAAACGAATATTATTGCATATTTCGATTATAAGAATGCAAAAATGCATGTTTCACAGTATATTTTGTAATATTTATAATTTAATATTAATATTTTGTATTTAATTCTAGCCCTGCTGATTAAAGTATAAAACTTGATTTTTTGTCAAATATAAATTTTATTTTAATAAATACAATTCTATAGTACAATAGGTATGTGATAAAAGATTGAATAGTTTGACGGAGAAAGTCCACAGATTATAAAAATGCTAGGAATCGACTTCTTGAGTGCAACTGAAGAGTCGCAGATAAAGTTAAAAACAAAATATCTCTGGTTTTACAAAAAAATAAAGGATTTAAAACTACAATCAATAAATAAAATATTAAATGGCGAATCAGACGTGTACAATTTCAATTGTAATTTAACACCAGGACAAATTTTTTTATTTAAATATGCGCTAACTATATCATGTGACGTTGAACGAAGCTTCAGTCAATTTAAATCAATAATACGATCCAATCGCCGATCATTTATATTCGAAAATTTAAAAAAATTTGTTGTCGTAGCATGTAACACACGTATTTCCGCAATTGAATGTGAATTATAAATTTTATTTCTCAATAATATTATATTGAGACAAACAGCCAATCACTAATGTATTTCAATAAATACATATTTTTTTGGTAACTATATTTTTGTGTTTATCTTATAAAAATTTAAATTCATATTTTGGTAAACAAAATTCATATTTTACAATGTTTTATTGCATACAAATCATAGCCCTGATAATTATATTCTGTGTTTTAGATGGCCAAATGATATGTTTAAGTAAAATTGAATATTCTAATGCATCTATGAAATCATAATTATTATTCACTTAATAAATCTAATTAAAAGCAATTACAATTTAGAATATCTTTTGATAGCGTCATGATATGTGCACGTTCAATTATAAATTGAGCAAATACTTGCTCAGTAAAAAAATGTATACTTTTATAGAATGATTTTGGGATCCTCTTCAAAAGAGAAATAATAGCTATAGAAAAATATATACTATGAGTATGTTTATTTTATAGTATGGCCAGAGTTTGAGGAAATTTTTTTTATCTGTATGGCCATCATACAATTAACAATTAATTGGAACTATGTTTTCTAGGAAATATTATGGTGACCAAATACAGGGAGATTCTTTTGTTGATTAAAACTTCTTATTTTGAAACGTATTGAATTTTTTTTAAAAGAACTTTGCTTAAAAAATTAAGGAACAAGCAACTCTAAAATGTTACATTTCCATTAATTTGGGAGTGAAAAAATTACCAACATTCAATTTTCAAATAGTAAGGTACATTAAAAGTTCCATAAATTGATAGAGTATTAGTTTTAATAAACTATGGTGTTGAAATTTTTGATTACCGTCAACCAATTCATGAGATATACCAATTTTAAGTTTGAATGGGTTAAAGTAGCTGAATATCATTTGTGTAGGGGCACGACACGGCGTGCGGGGTTTGAATAGTACTCCAATACTCTATTTAAACTTGAAATATCTCATAAATGGAAAATCAGAAATCAAAAATTTGAATACCAACATTTATTTAAACTAATACTCTTCTATCAATTTAGGGAACTTTTAATGTAGGTTACCATTTTAAAATCAAAAGTAGGTAGTCATTTTACTCCCAAAAATTAGGGTTACAAAAAAAAAACTGGTAATATAACATTTTAGAACGACTTGTTTCTGAAATCAAAGAAACATAAATTAACACTTTCCAAGATATTGCAATGATATATTTATGGAACACTGTATACCATGGATGGAAGATATTTTTTAACCTTGAAGCTAAAATGTTTATTAAAAAAACAGACTGATTTAACAATTTATGTTACTAGTTTTATAGCCAGTCTACAGTAGTGGAAATAGTAATTGATTTAGACAAACTGACTCACTGAACTGAATCTTTCAAAAGCGTTGCTCAAATGATTCATTGAATCATGTCTAAATTTATCACTCATTCAAACGAACTACCATCTATTCCACTGAATCATGGTTCAAATTGAACAGTGACAGTTTTGTCCTTTCTATGATAAAATGATTGATTTGATTCATTAGTGACCAATGTTATAATTGTTTCTGAGTTAGAACTGAATCGTTCATTCACAAAATACACATCTCTGATCTTTGTATTTTGTTCTGTTAGTGGTGGTGACATAAATTAAATTTTTTTTTTGCTATCAGAAACCTTATTAAATCATATTGCTAAAAATATTTCACATTATTTTCTTATAAAACAATATAGTACATTTTAATTAAAGGACATTTTGTGATATAAGATAATAAAAAATTATGAACAATTATTCTCATATAATACAATTTATTATACTCATACTTATCAACTATTTTAGTTAAATCAACACAATATTTTATCTTTATTGTTATGTTATTTTAAAATTAGTAAGTTAATTATAACTAAAAACATTAATTTAACTAAAACTTAAAAATTGTATTTATTTATATAAATAATTAAAATATTATAGTTTATAAGTATAAAAAATAAAGATCATTAAAATATAATTTAATTAGTCTTTATTAATATTTAACTTTTTTAATAAAAAAAAAAATTCACAATTTGTCAAGAAATCAATTTTCTACTTTTTGGAATTTGACTATTGGGCATCTACAAACTGGACATACATTGCATAATTCATCTCTTGAATTTTCATAACAGTAATCACATAAACACATATGAGAGCATGGAATCAATAGGACTGAAGGTTTGAAACGTTCAAGACATATTGCACATTCTAATGATCTATACATTTTATCTGTAAACAAATAATAATTAACTAAATATAATAAATAAATTTGTATATTAATACCTTTTGATGTTCTAAATTTACGACTAGATGATGAAGATGGACCATTATGAAGTTGGCGGTTTGGATTGTCAGCTACATCAAACATTTGGCAAACAAATCCCCCAAGAACAGTACCTAAGATGATTTGTTTTATACATTTGCACAATTATAAAATTATGTAAGCTTACCTAATATTGACCCAAGTTTTCCTCCGGCTAGAAAACCAAAAGCCGTAAGTCCTCCAATTACAATTATTTTTTTGATAGTTGATGGCATTTTAATAATTTATAGGAACTTAAATCCTAAATCAAAATGTATAATAAATATTAAGAATGGAACAAAATAATTTAAATACCTAGAATACCTATTTTGTATGGTTTTTTTTATTTATATTTTTCTAATTAATTAGTCATTTGTAGATATGAACACATATGAGCACAATGTTCACATAAACAATATTTTTCGAACGTCAGTCATATAAATATTATCAATCAAATTAATTTGATACTATTACTACCTTTAAATGACATGTCAATAAATATCTTCTAAAATAAATTATTGTAATATAAGAATATAGGAATATTGATCATTTCCAAATAGTTATAAATTGACAAAGTAGACAGTAGGTAAGTACCAATAATATCAATGCTCCTGTGTATCCTACTGTAAGGATAAAAATGAAACAAATTCTTCAAAAAGTATATAGATCTTAATATTATGGGTCCAAGTTGATAAATTTAGTAACTAAAATTTCAACTATATTGAGTTTTTAAATAATTTATTTGGAATAAAATTCTATATGTCATTTTTATTTTATAAATTATTAATTATAACACAAGACACATTGTCAACTTTTTAGTAAAGAATAAAATATATGTATTTTTATGTACGATTCAATGTTCTAAGTTGATCAAGCAATTAATAATTGTATACAAATTAAAGTGTAAGCATGAGGCTCATAGTATAATAATGGTGTTAAAAAATATGTGTACCAATGACGATTAAAATAAGTTTTTGAATGAAATTCAATTAACATCTTAAATATATTTATTAAATTTATAAAATAATTAACTATTAGTTTTTAATTTAGAGAGAAAAATATTTACATTTAAAATAAAAATATGAGCAAAGTTGATAAAAAATTGTTTTATTCTTAAAAGTAAATTTGTAAACTATGAAAAAATAATTTAATGTATCTTCAGGGCTGACTAAGATCACTGGGACACCAGGAAATCTCTTGGTAGGCCACAATTGAAATGAGTTTGACTAGTTCAAACAAATTTGGTAATGTCAGGTGCAGTTAGTAAATAACCAAAATAGGTGACCTAACGAGTCATACAACACAAGATATGATTTAGTTGATCCGTTAAACTGTGAAATAGTGTGCAAAGAGCAGGAAATAAACGTTCAGGGGTTGCTATACAGTATTAAAGGGCTACAGTACGCTATTGAGGGGCCTTTAATATGCAGTCATCAATTGCATAAGTTCATCTTAAGAGTCTGTAATGGTTGCAGTAAGATATAATGATTAGCCAGTAAGGATACTTTCAAAGGAAAGTATTTCACTTATTTACACAAATAATAAAATATCAATTTACATAGTGCAGTACATTAAAATTGATTATTATTGCAAAATATGAGAGTGAAAAACGATACATTACCAGAAATTAAACGAAGTTATTGATTAAAATTTAAAATGAAGTAGTGAAATTTGATGTAGGATAGAAAAGCTATATAACTATAACTAGTAAAAATAATAATCTAAAATCCAAATAAAGTGTAAACATAATACAATAATATTTTGTGATATTATCACGATTATATATATTGTGGTTAAGGGGCAGTTGTTCAAAATGATAAAGACAAATAATAAAGGACCGAAAGCATAATTTCTATACCTATATATTTTGAACTTGTAATATTTAAATACTATTTAATTGTAATATTGCTGAGTTTGGAGTATTTAGTTGTAGACGAAGCGAACGGAGAAAATTAATCAAAAATTACCCTTGATTTATTATACTAAATGCAAAAATCGTAGCAATTTATTTCGTCTGTTCTGTGTGGTTTGTTAATATAGTGTATATTAATATGCGACCGGGTTGGGTTTCTGAAAAAGGTTCTTATCATTTTTCGAACAATTGCCATAGTAATAATTCGAAATGGTATGTGTTGACCTATAGATAATTAATAATTATAATAATTAAATAATTTTTATACCTAATACAATTATAAATTATTAAATAATAATAATTTATTATCTATGTGTTGACCACAATTAAAGATCTTGAGTAAAACATACGGTAAACTTACTATGGTCCAAAAATACATCTGATAACTGATAGCTTTATTTATTATTTTAAATAAAGAAGTAATATTATTATTGTTATCAGATGTCTTTGTCAACCTCGCGTACTGAACACTGAATAATTAGATGAATTTAGGTGATTAGGTGATCCAGTAGGACGAGCTAGATGTGGTGTTACAGAAGAACAGTGACACTATAAAGATAATTAACTAGATAGTGTCCCGATCGAGACACGCATTAATTTTTAGGAGTAAAATTGGATTGATATCTGGCTTTTGTTTAGTTGACGTTTAAATATTGTACCAGTGTTAGTTATAATTAATATGGCCCAAAGCTCAAGCCTGTGGACGACTAAACAACGGATTCGTCATTTAGACTTGCCCATCAAAAATTTTATTGACAATGCAATTCCTTACCAAGTGGAAACGTTGAAAACGTTAAAGTCAAATCTTGTGAAGGTATGTGTTTCGTCTAAAGTAACTTAATAATGTTATTAATTATGTATTTTATAATTATAATATTGTTATAGCAAAGACGATTGGAAGATCGAAGCAGTATACGTCAGTTACAAATGAAAGCTTCACAATCCATTAAACGTGCCCGAGCATTACTCAGAGAAATGGATACTTTGAGAAACCAAGTTGCTGATGTTGACCTACATACTTTTGACAGCTTAATGAACCCATCTAGACGATTATTATTGGATGCGATTGACATGTTCAAGAGTAATTTAATTATTTCCATTATTTATTAGGTACTGATTACCTATACTGTTGATTTTATGTTTCATAAATTTAATAGGTGAAAATCTAGATGAGAAACAATCTGTTATTAAACCTGAAGACAATTACCCAGAAAATAGTGAACAATTAGAAGTAGAAAATCAAAAACGTATGCTTTTAATAGCTATTGAAGAAGAAAAACAAAAACAAAAAAATGTACTTGCAATTGAATCTGATGTCAAAAATGTCGAAAGAGACATGCAAGACATTCAAGATCTATTTCGTGATCTAAGTAAATTAGTAAATGTATGTATACTATATAATAAACCCAATACATTACATATTGTCACACATAGTATGTGTTATTAACTATTAATTTTTTTTTTGTAACATCAATTAAAAATTATTTCCACTTGATCTAAAATTATATTCATACAATTAAATCATTGATTTGTTTATCAAGTATTCAAGATAATACTTCATTATTACCAGAAATTAAATATTTGAATGTATAAATGCCTAATAACTATTAATAAATGATAATATTTTTGGAATGATTCTAGTTCAGCTTCTTCACTTGAACTATTTTTTAATTTTATTTCTAGTTTCAAATGTGTCGAAAATATACATTAAAGGTGTTAAAAAAACTTTAACTAACTTCGTTTGATAGTTATGGGGAAAAACTTTATAAGTTATTTTTTTTCTGTTTTATGTATTTCTTAATTAAAATTTTATATTTTTTTAATTTTATTTCCAAAATATGTGTTTTTTATTACTTTTAACCCATTGGTATAATCAAAACTTACTATCATACTTACTTTTATGGTTTTTCTACATAAATCTTGAAAACTAATCTCTATCGGTATTAATCCAAAATGTGGTCAAAAATAGACAATTTTATTATTATTATTTGTAGTGATTGATATTTGGATAATAAAAATTTTTTTTAAGTTAGAATAAGCTATCTGAATTGATTATTGTGTAAAATCATGTCGCGTAAGACACAGGGTATAACCAAATGCTTTTTAGGTGAACCTAGAGACCGGCAGGGGGCACTCGCTTACTATGTTCACTTGGTTTGTTTTAATTGAAAATAATCATTGATTTGTTGTGCAAAACCACATCAGGTAGGACACAGGGTAAAATCAAATGTTTTTGCATTATTTATACCAGTTCCAATACTAACAACTTACAACTTACTGTGGTGTGGAATGCGGAGAATGACTTGCTATACCTGCCGCCAATTTTAGATCTACCTCTCACAATTTATTTTGAAAAATATTATAAAATTCTATCTAAGAAATATGGAAAATACAAAGCCTAACTTTTCCCCATATTTCCCAAACAAAGTCAATCAGACTTTTTTTTTACATTTTTAATGTACACATTAAAACATTTTGAAAAACAAATCTCTTAAGAGCTAAACTAGAATTATACTATATTTAATGTACTTCTTAATTAATTCTCTAATTAATTTACTTATTCTTCTCATAAGCTCTACAGACCATGATGGCCCTTGGTTTCCAAATGTGTTTACTAATTATGTTTAAATAATTAATTATTAATATAGGAACAAAAAGAAGATGTTGATAAGATTGAAACTCATGTTGAATCAGCTCAAGAAAATGTTATTCAGGCTGAACAAACGTTACGCAAAGCAGCAAAATTAAAAAAAATGTCTTATCCACTTATTGGAGCTGTTGTTGGATCATGTGTTGGAGGTCCATTAGGATGTTTAGCTGGAGCCAAGGTTGGAGTATTTGCCACTGTTACTTGTTTTGTATTAGGTAAAATATAATAATACATCTTTATCTTAATTTTAATAATAACTTTTAATTAAATTTGTATGAATATCCACCCGTGTAACTGGTATTTAAAATGCTCAAAATATTCTCAATAAAACAGTGAATAGTTTATATTATAATATAGTAATCTATATTTGAAATTTAAGGGAGAAATGTTTTGAATTCAATATTTCAATTAGATCAACTTAAATGGATCACTATGCATACAAATATTGTACAAAATAATTGTCAAATTATTGAATATCATAAATTAACAACATGTAATTTGTTATATATTTTTTTGTTTGCAATTCTTAAATAATATTAAATTTAAATTTTAACAAAAGTTATATAGCAATTTGCTTAAAAAATTATTACCTGCTTTGGTTTTAACAATATTTAGTCTTCGTTTTTAGAATTTATCATATTTTATTTATTTAAATTTAACTGTTAAAATGTCTATTTTCAACATATATATATTTGTAATATTTTTTTTCTCAGTTTGAAATAATAAACTAATTGTTTTATTTAAACTATACAGGTTTTACAGGTGGTAAAGTACTCAAGGATAAATCTAATGAAGAAACAGACAATATTTCTAAAGATTTACTTAATCAAACTGTAAAACCACATACAGAATAACACTTGTATACTATATTTTCAGTTGAATTTCATGACAAAAACAAAATGATAGGGAATTAGTTTGACTGACATTCAATAATTATTAATTTTATATAAATTTATTATATTTTTTTATAAATGATGTTATGATTTATAGATTAAAAATGTATTAATATATATTATTATTGTATACTATATTTTTATTACATAATATAAAACAATAACACGTTATTTATTGGTTTTTTAAAATATATTGTGTGTATCTCCCCCATGTCATAACAATTTTGTCACATAAAAACATCCAGCAATCAACTTTTATTATCTATTATTTGTTTTATTTCTATATAGGAAATAAAAACAAGTACTATCTTTAATTTTATACAGTTTATTTTCATCATCGTTATTTTTGTGATTCTAGTAAACATATTGCATTGTTTTTTTAAAGTGGAAAAATTCACTTTATAGTTGACAATACCATTCTTCCTGTGGATCAGAATATTTCCATAATACCTCTACCTGTCGTAATAGATCAAAATGGGGTTGTGTCAGATCGACACTGGTGTCAAATTTTGTCAAACAGTATGAAGAGTTTTAAACAAGTCTTTCGTGGATTGTCCCATCTCAGATGTGCGTGGGGACAAGGGGCGAGTAGAAGTACCGTTATGCATGATATTTGTAGATGATAGAGCTCTGATAGGAGAATATCTGGAAGAAGTTATCAATAGGCTAGTTGAATATCCAATGAAGAATCTATTTATTGAATTCAAAGTGTTATCAGTAAAAAAAATATAATATATGAAAAACTGCTATTTATAAGAAAATTCATAATTTACTACGGCCTATATTTCATGGTGTTAATAGGCTAAAATCAATTTTCTTATAAAAAAAACCTAAAAAATTATTACTAGTTAGCAATTTTGATACACTTGGTGCTAAATTATGTAACATTATAGTACCTTATATTATGAATCTTCCAATGTAATTAATTAAAAAAAAAATCTTGCAATGGTTATTCGAATCTCCAGACAAAATAGTAATAGAATAACCTTTTATAGTATAAATATTAGTTTTAGGTACCTACCTATAATGTTATTTTTAATTCCTGAGCCCTTTCACAAGTTCTTTTATTAGGGCCCAGTATTTTTGAAAAAAAAAAATCAATGACATAAATATATAATTTTGTGCTTGTAAATGTTTAACATCAAAATGTTTGAATGTGTTCTTAGGAATATGTCACTTTGTTAATTTTCACTTTGCGAAAGTGAAACTATTGTTGATTAGTTTTTTGTATCATTTAATGGGAATTTGTTATATTGTTATAACAATGGAATTAAATTTTTTTGGTTACTCATTTTTTGTTAATCCTCTAGATAAACCATTGCTTATCAAAAAAACGATTATAAGCGGAATTGATAGTGATGGTTTGTCAACAATATATATGTCAAATTAGAGTAAAATAATTAATAGGATTTATATATTTTCTTTAATATTTGTTTAATGTTATACCGATTTTCCCAGTTTTTTATGTTTATTCCCGGGTTTTCACATTTGCCTGGAACTCTTGAAAAAATTGAAGAATGACCTTGAAGTACCTCCTCAGACGGATTTCCTTTTAGAAACATTGCTATCATTATAAATTGGAACAAAATTTTTGATTGAAAAGTTGTGCTCAGGAAAACAAATTGTAATATTCTAGTAATATATTTCATACATTTTCCCGTTTTTTTTTTGGTTTTTCAAATTTAATGAGAAAATCGAAATACTTTAAGTACCTCCTCACACCGATTTCCTTTCAGAAAAGGTGCTACATTTAAAAATCTGTGTAAATCTTTTGGTAGAAAAGTTACGTGCAGATTAAAAAAAAACAAGCTTCTTCGCTCTACTCAGAATCTAAAAAAAACGACTTTCATAGGCAAAACTAGATTAAAAATTCAATAAAACAAATCTCTTGATGTTGTATTGCAGCAAATTCATGGTAGAAAATATAAGCCATAAATATTTAAAATTTTGAAATCGTAAAGCCGTAAACTAGTCAGTTATCATTGTTTTTTTTTCGATTTTTCCTAATTTCTTAATAAAACTACTGATAAAATAAAAAACAAAAATACCAACCAATAGACGTTTATCTATTGGAGCAATGTTTATGTTAGAAAATCTTAAAAATTCAATATAATGAAATTATATTTTTCGCCTCTTGGTTTTTCGTAATTATTATGAAATATACTTTAGATATCAAAAAACGACCCTTCAAAACATGTTCAACTGAACTTTGCACCAAATTGTTTTTCTCGTCTCAGGTAAAAATTTAAAAACTGCATCCCACCTTCTTTACTACTAACCTACAACAGTGGCTGCACCCGTCCCCAGTGTCGGCTCTTTTTTTTTTAATTAATAATTATGTTACAAATAATACACATATATTATTAAAATTAAATATCTGTAAAATACCATAGTGTTATAATGAGCAGAAATTTTAAATGGAAAAAACATATAAATCTGCTAGTAACCAAACTAGCAAGCTCATCTATACCTTTAACCAGCTCTAACCTATGTTAAACCCTACCCAAAATTAAAATTGTATATAAAGCCTTAGTTGAATCACTATTAATCTACGGAATAACTGCCTGCAATTCCAATCTTAAGCAACTTCAAACAACTCAAATAACATACTATGATCTATACTAAATAAAAACAGGTACTTTCACAATGTTAACTTATACTCGGAATTCAATGTTCTAATAATAAAAAAATACTTTTTTAAAACAGGAGTTATCTACTCAATTAAAAACAAACTGCTAAAACACAATTTTAATTCTCTATATAAATTGAATAACGTCGTAGTTCCCAGGATTCGCAAATTCTTTACTCGATCCTCTTTCTTTTTTGTTGGGCCATTTATACTTGAAAAACCTTTCTTTAGTTACACTATCTGAATTAAAAAGTCTTTAAATTACATCTATCAAAATGGTTTCTCCAACAAGTAGTAGACTTCTTGCATATATTATCATAGACAAATTTTGTATTAGTTTCATCTGTTATATTTACTACCACTTTTTTATTATTATTAAATGTTAATATTAATAAATGTAACTTATAAGTCATATTTATTTTTAATTTTTCTGTAATATTTTCATTTTCTAGACTCAATATGTATTTATGTATTTTGTAAAATTATTGTATTCTATATAATAGATTCTTATATTATGGATTACAATTATGTTAGATTAAGATTTCATGGCCCATTATCTTTTTGAAAGAATAAAAATAAATAAATAAAATATTTTCTTATTTCCAAATCAACCATTTTATGTACTAGTTACTATATGGACAGACACAATGGGGATAGATGGTATCTTAAACATAAGTTTAAAAAACTTAAAACCTGGTTAAAACTTTAATTTAATAGTTAGCTTTATAAATAATAACATTTTTATTTTTTGAATAAAATGATCATAATTCAAATGAAAGTTTGTAATCACTTACTTTAATTTTTAACTTATATGTACTCAGCTGATGATATAGATTTAAAAATATGTTAGATATTCATAATACATTTTATGGGTCAGATATTGGTAATAAATAAGGTACAGTGTACATTTACAGGTCCCCAATGGCCTTATTGTACAGCAATTACCTAGGTATCAAGTATCGAACACATATTTGTTTAAACCTTTTTTGAGAATATTTAACAACTACAAATACAAATGAAAGACATTTGTTGGATAAAATTTGATTATTACATATTAAAACAAAATATAAAAATAATTTTAAACAAATAAACAAAAATTAATACAAAAATAAATTATAATGGTCATATTGTAAAACTCAATATATACAATAAATAATAACTAATAAATCGCAACAAAATGGGTATGACTTTACACAATACTATGAATTAATTTCATAATTGGTCCACACGCAAATAAATACATTAGATATTAAAATATAGACTAAATTAAATTTATGGGTCCACACAAAAAATAAACTAAGTATTAAATAGACTAAATTAATTTGATACATTTCCATAGGAATCAATATAATATTTAACTAATTTGTAATTCTTAACAATAAAATTCTAAATAATAGCTATTTGATCATTTAATTATGTATTTAGAACAAAAATGATAACATAATATTTAATAATTTTTTTTAATTATATAAATATTTACATGTTATATTATGCGATATAGTAAATATAACTTAATTCTCCAGCATCTTCAAAAATATACTAAATGACTTCTACTGTAGGCCAAACTCAGACCTATTGTCAAATTTATATAATTAGTAAACAATTTTTAAAAACTCACAAAAAATTATTATATTATTTAATATGTAATCAAAAAAATGACATATTAGACATTATGCAAAATACTTGAAGAATATACTTTTATTACCTAAAAACATTTGCCGATAACAAAAAAATAGTTATACATTTATTATAAACAATGATTGAAAATTAAATATAATATCTTCATTGTTTTTTAAAAAAAGCAAAAACCAGCAACTTGTAATATATTATTTTATTAGATCATAACTTTATTAAGATTAAAAATATTTAAAAAAAAAATTGTTGCTGAGGCTATACACAAAAACATATAGATGTTTTTCAATAATCAAATATGCAATTGTTAAACATTTTTTTCAGGGAATTTTTATATAAATGCCCTAGAAATTATAAACAATTATTTAATATTAAGAGATCAATAATGTAACCAGAGTTCTCTTTTGATTGTTACATGATTTTTATATTATAACTATTTAGTTATTATTCAGATTAAACTTATTTCTGTTCTTATACACAAGCTTTTAGAATTGAACGTATAATTTAAAATTTGTTTAACAAAAATCAATCAACCTTATCCATAAGGTATTGATTAACCCTACTTGGTCTTTTATAAATATATAGCATCCACAATATTACAAAATAAAACAATTCTAATATGAGTTAATTATATGAAAGTCAGTGTCTGGTGTTTTATACATCATATTGTATAGTCATTGATCACTAATAAAAGTCTTAAGTTATCAGATGTAATAAAATAACAAATACATAATTAATTAATATGCCACATTTGTCTTTTATAATTATAATTATAAAAACAATTCATTAAATAAATTCAAAGTAAAATTCTAAAGAATATTGAAAATGTCAACAAATATTCAATAGCACCCACTGTTAATCATACAAATTATAATTCTTAAGTATTGGTACACTCATGTGTTTAATTGACATATTAATTTGTTTAAAGCTTAAGAGTAAAAACAATAAAAAGTTTCATTATAATTATTTAAACGAACACATAACACAGGTTAAGATCAAAGGAACCAAGATAGAACCCACAAAGAGGAACATTTTGTACAATTAAAAACTAATAGTCAATGCAATTTTTAAAAACCAATAACAGTTATTTATGTACATTACAACTTTGGTTGAATTTAAAATGATTAAACAAATAATGAAATATTATATGATTTAAGACTGGAAATTATTAAATTAAATATACATTTTTGACAGATTTTAGCATTGCAATTATAATCAACAAAAATAAATCAAGGTTAGGTTGGGTTTACTAGCTTACAGAAAAAAAAGTTACAAAATAATTGTTTAAATTTTAATTCTTTTAAATTTGTAAAATTCATTGGGTTCAGATTTTATAAATATAACAATTAAAAAATTGTTAAATTAAATTAGAAATTTAGACCAAAAAATAGATTAATTCATGGCTTAACATGACTTACAATATTACAATTATTATTATAAGTGATCGTTTATTACTAAATAATTGTATATTTAAGAAAATTAAATTTTTATTGTAAACTTGATTTAGTAATATACAATTTGAAATTGTGTATTTTTCTCAAGTGTTTAAACTATTACATTGTGTGATGTATCATTCTCAAAAAAATATTTAGTTTTTCATTACTATTTATAAATTTTTAATTATTTAATTCTATTTTTATAATTTAGATTTAAATATTTAAAGGGAGTTTTGATTTGTTTAAATAATAATGTTAATTTTGGTTATAATATTTGAAATGTTAACGATTGTATACATTAAAAAAATGATAAAGAACACAAAAATATAAAGGATATTGTGGTGCTCAAAAATTAACTATACAATTATTAAAAACTAGGAGGTATGTATATATTTAAATTGGTAAATTAAAAGTTTTGAATATCTAGTTAGTAATTAATTACTTTACCTTTTTTTTTTTAAATTTTATTAAACTAAGAGATTATTGAGCATCTGACCAATTTCATAGCATCAAACCATTAATGAAATATAAATGGAAGATGGAACTATTTTTGAAATTTAATCTAGATTTTAATAAACTTGATATTTTTAAATTAATAATGACTTTGATTAAAAAGTGCATCATTAGATTGATTATTATAACTATAATCCAACTGCCCTCCGCCCTCATCAGTTATATTTTGAATTATGGTCGATGAATCAGAGTGTTGTATATCTTGTTCGTTCTTTAATAAAAAAAAAGTATACATATATATATATATATATATATATTATTGTTACATCAAATAAGTAATTACTAAATAAAATTATTTATACTCTTTCAAGTACCAGTAAAACATCAGAAGAAATCATTGAAGATGATTCAAACACATCTTGACTAGTAGTAGTATGATTAATTTGATTGATAGGTGTTTCAGGTTGAGTTGTTTGCCTGGAAGTTGTTAGAGGTATTATTGTAGATTCCTATAAAAAAAAAAAATAGAAATCTTAATATTCATAATTTGTAGAGAAATAATTACAAATTAAAATAATTACATTCATAAATGATGGCATAATTCCACAACGAGCCATTAATAATTGTTCAGATATTTTCCGTAGTTCTTCTTGTTGTTTAATAATAGTTTTTTGTAATTGTTCTTGTTTACGTTGTAATTGATTTTGAATTTGATTTTCATGCAGCTAAAAATAATTTATTCTCTAATTATAAACTATACTAATTTGATTTGGTGAAAATCTTTCTCATTGAAAAATAAAAAATATGTATTGTGATAAAATGTAATTAGATTTATCAAAATTTTAATATTTAGGATACAAAATTTAAGTAAACAAAGATTATAATTGTACACTATTTGAAAATGTGAGAATATTTTTAGTTTATAACAAGAACAATAAAAACTTAGAATGTTTCATACAACTTTAAGGTTACGGATATCAATGGTAGTTAAATAGGTAATTTTTTTTATTTCCCTAAGTTATCACAGAAGTAAAATTACACTTATATATCTCACAGGTGTTTTAACAAAATTAATTTTAAGATTAAGCTAAGAATAATGCATACATAAAATATTCGGTTCAAAATAGATTTTAGAATTATCGTGATAATTATTAGTTTCAATATTCAAAAAAAATTACATCTAAATCACCTTATTATAAATGATAACTTTCTAAAATTCTTTACTGAAATATAAAACATATCTCTAATTATTATATAATTACAATTTTATTCCTGTAGAAATAAACAATATTTAACGAGTTCATATAATTTTCAATTTATAAATGGTTATGTATTTATATGTAAATTGAATATTCAATTAATATTTGACAAATATATTTACAGATGAAACTGGAGGTAATTTTATTGAAGACTGCACATTTTGTAAATAATGATTGTCAACTGTTTCAGAAATATCTTGTTTAATTTTCGGTAATATCAATGATTCACTTTTAGAATTTGAATTCGACACTCCTTCAATTGATCTAATTTTCTAAAAATAATAAGAATAATAACATAAATATCACTCAATATATTAAAAATCAACTTAATTACATTCATAGAATATACTTCTGTACTAATAAATGGCTATAAATTGTTCAGAAATTATCACCATTAATAAAGAAGTGTTCAGTAATAATTATATTATATTAATATTCTTCGCTCCTCCTAACTATTTTTCCTAGTTCTATCTCTGAAAAATTCTCCACTGCACATTAGTGAGACCCATGTTGAGTACAACAGTGTATTATGAAACCTGGAGACCGCAACAGGTAGGTTTGTCTGCACCATTTATTTTTTACTCCGTATTCCTTGTCTTCATTACAATTACACTCTTGTTCTATGGAAAGTTTGCCTCACAAGCCTGGCTGACCATAGGTAGGCACATAATATTTTATTTTTGTCACATCTTTTCTTTGGTAAAATAGACTCATCTACTATTCTATCCCTCATAAATTTTAAAGCCCCACCTCAATTACATGATTATACTTTATATTCTCTATTCATCTACAATTTCCTTGATAAATACCCATATCCCATCTTATACAGACAACAAACAACAGCAACTCTTCCTTTTTTATTTAATTTATCAATATGCAACACTATGTAATATTGAACTAAAAATTAAATTTGTTTATTATTGTTGATAGTTTTATTATTATAATTACATTTTGTCTGTAATTCTAAATTCGTTAATATTGAAGTCTATTTCTGTTATAGGATAAAACTATTTGCTATTTACTATAAAACTGCAAACTAACATAAATAAAAAAAATATCAGATCTCTAGGATTATTTTTAACTAATAACAAAATAAAAATTTTAAATAACAGAAACTGTTATTGTATACATGTTCAATGATTTCCAGAAAACTACAAGAAGAGTAAAAAAAATAACTAACTAGACAAAATTCACTATTAGAAACCATCTGTAAAGTTTATGTAAGTTCAGTAAAAAAATTGTTTACATACAAATAAAAACAAAATGCACCATAATAAAACCAATTAAATTCCTGCCTATGTTTTAAATCTAAAACATCACAGTCAGCAGCTATTTTATCATTGTTGGTTCAGCAATATATATTACCTATGAATGTAGTTCAATTTCATATTGATAATTAATTAACTAACCATTTGAGGCGACTGTGGCATTTGTTGTTCATAATGTCTTTTATGAAATGAATCATAATCACTTTCTGATGTATCTTGTTGAATACCATTTGAAGGTATGTGCCATAATCTTTTTTTATTTTTTTTTCTCCCTAGATCAGTCCCTTCTCTTTTAATAACATTCAAATAATTTATGACTTGATGATGACAAACAATGAATTCAGGTTTTGAGTTCCATTGATGGTAACTAATGTAATATCTTGACTGTAACCATATCCATTGTTGACCTTTAGTTAAAAACCGATAATAACAAGATGTGCCTTCACCTTTTAGCATAACTAAAAATTAAATAGTGAATGTATTAAAAATAAGCATGTTAATTCATTTTGTTAATTTAAATTTATAATTATCAATTTACGTGCTTGGTGTGATAAAATCACATCTTCTAAGTCATCAATATGATAATACTCGTAGCCAGATGTTCCGAGTACTTCAAATGGCATGTAACCAATAATAGATGGCCCTCTAAAATTAAAATAAATTGTATACTTTAATATTAACAAGCATATAATTTAATAAATAATTAGATTTATTTAAATTGTATGTTACAAACAAAACTAAAATGTATGCACAATACAGCTGTATTAAAAATGTTAAGTTTAAGTTATATAAAAATAAATGTTTTTTACCTATGATCTAGGAATAAAAATTTCCATTCTAAACTGTGTCTGGAGGTAAATTCGATTTTTACATCCTCTAAAACTGGAAGCTCTTTTAATAATTGAGGTGTCATTATCCGGCCAATACCAACAAATACCAGACTATATATCCAAAATAAATTAAAATATAGTTTTAAATTTTATTTTTATCTTCAAAAATAAAAATAATTACTTTTGATCGTCTTCTTCACTACTGCATGGAGATAAAATTCCATTGTTATTTCCATGAAATATTTCACTACTATTTTGAAAATAGCCAAAAAATTGCACCAATTCAAATTTATTTTTTTCATTTATTTCTTCTGAATCTTTCAATAGATCATGTCTCTTACAATGACAAGAAAATACAATTTTATCTAAAATAATATATACAAAAAGACATTCATCAAAAGTACTAAAAATGGCACATTGAATATATAAACTTTACCATTCTCAAGTGTCTGAGAATGCTTAGATTCTAAAATTAGATCACGCAACATTGAATGATCTGCTTCATTAATTATTTTAAATATTGATAAATTTATTAAGTTTTTCTGAAAAAATTTGAATTTCATAAAACATAACAAATACAATTAAAATTAGTTTAATTAGTATATAGTATTTTTTTTTTTTTATTTATATAATACCGGAAGATAACCAAGAAGAGCAGTGATAGTTTCTGAAGCATGAAGTATCTTCCCTAATGATGTAAACACTATTATAAATCCGTCTAAAGCCTAAATAATAAATCAATCATATAAAATTATTCAGATTACAAATAATATAATTAAATGACAATATTTACTTCCAATATTATGTGTGTAAATTCTTCATTTAATAGAAATGATGGCTTCCAATCATTGTCTATTTCATGCACTCTAGATCTTAATACTGTAGCAAAACAAATTAGTATTATTATTATTTTTTTTTTTATTGTATACAAATGAATAACTTACCTTTTTGGTTTTTTAAATAATTTATGGTTGTTTTTAAAACAGTTGATTTATCCATTTTTTTATTGGCTGTTGACAACATGCGATTCAATTCGTTGACTAGGCTGTTAAATTGATCCCGGCGTTTCTTTTCACTCAAGTTTCTTGATTTCCTAATCATTATTGTTTTCATAACAAAATATCCTCGAATAGTGGAACAAACATTGGCCATGAAACCTTGGTAATACCTACCTTTTAGAATCATCTCTATCGTTTAGATCATCGTCATACTTGTCACTATTTAAAATTTAAAAAAAAAATACATCATGTATAAGTCACAACAATTTACATTAAAAATAATATATCTCCCTCCACAAAAAAAAAAATTAAATAATAATTACATAGTGTTAAAAATACTTACAAAAATAATACATTAATATAATGTACATATTATTATAAAACATGTAAAAAATGTTCACACACACACATGGTGTGTGCATATGAATTAATGGGTTTATTATTGCACTAATGTACCTAAGTACAAATCCATTGACATTGCAAACTTATACTACTCTGGAAGTCAAATATAATAATTTGAACAAATTTAAATTGTACTTATTACTTTTTCATTAGAACTAGTTTTATTGGCAAACTAAAAAATATTATCATAATGCCATGAGGTAAAAAAATGAAAACGTTAAACGACAATTGACACGCCACTGCAAGATTACTTTAGATTTAGACTTACTCGGATTTCCTAGTAGATACACTACCCAAATAGGCTGACATAATGGCACAATTTGACGTGTTTAGACTTGTTGCTTGGAGAGTACTCGATGCACAAAGTTCACATGTTTACGAAAAATTAGGGGTAAATGTACGTACACGGCCAAATAGTAATGTATATAGCCGCAAATCGAATGAATTTTCGCAAAACAACTATTATGTACGCTGATGGACCGCGCATGACAGAAGGTGTTTGGGGATCGTTGTTAATCAACTTATTGATAAATTGATATGAATTCGGGAATTGCAAAAGTTTTGATTTTTAATCAAGAGCAGTCGAACCATTTGCCATAACGTTAAAATACTTTCATTTCTGGGTTCACCTTGTGATCGATAATACCAAAGTACATTGATAAGTAATAACGATAACGATTACGTAAATTATTGGTATAAATAAACTCACTGTACCTTTACGGCTATAATGCTCTATGCTACCTAGACTATAAAAGTATACCCAAATACTATAAACATGTTTATAGTGCCCTATCTATATTGGATTCCTCTTTTGACCTTTTTAAATTGCCTCTATTCCAACGTATGAATACGATTACTGCAACTGTTGCTGTTTGATAATGTACAATTTTTTTATGTTAACTCTTTAGTCACTATAATTTAGTGTATAGAAATTGAACAATATCCTAATACCAGTATTATTACTTATTTTATTACAATCTATGTTGCAAACGGTTAGTATTCACATAGCTACCTAATAATATGTAATTCTAAATAAGAATAATGCAAACTGCGTAGATAGGTACCTACTATGTAATAAAATTAATTATTCACCTGTTCAAGTTATTGAAAATAGTATTAAATAAAAAATAAAATAATAATATCATTAGTCATGTTTATTTTTATGAAATATATTCATATCCTATTCGATAGGTACCGTGATGTGATGATACTGTAGGTACCTACATTGAATTATATAGGTATAAAATATCAGTCATCTGTATTGGCTGTATTAACACAAAATATTCAATAGGTATTAGTTGATCGTTATAAACAATAATCTAACGACTTATTAACACGTAATTAATTATTTTGACAAATATCGGCGTTAAACATAGGTGCCTATTATAATTTCAACGAAGACTTCAACAATTTATTTTGACTATAAAACGTAACATAAAAAAAAAAAGGCGATACTGGGGACGGCAGTGGCGAATTAATCAATTTGCCACCTATAAGCTGAAGTACATTTGCCGCCCCTTCATTTTAATACATTTTTTTTTTTTAACCAACAAAACTCATAAAGAAATGTATTTATAATTAAATTATTATTTATCATTTATAAAATTGAAAAATAAATAGAATTACAATTTACATTATTATATAGGATTACCGATTAATAAATTATTATATTACATTAATAATTCCTTTTGGATTTTAAGGTCAGCAAGATAGCAAATGTATCAGTTCAGTCTTGAAAGTCAGTTGTCGATACTAATTCCGATTCAATGCACAGGAGAGACAGAAAATTTATCCGATTTTCGCCAATAGTATATCTTTCTATAGGTTTTAAGTAGTTCTTTTAAGACACGAAAACGTGTCTTAAACCCGTGTCCCAACCCGCCGAATAGTTAGTAACCGCCGTACAGGAGTATTTTTGAAAGCATTTGGAAATAGTTCATCTAAATTCTGGTTTCGACAAAATGTAAACTTTTTTTTCAGTTGTATTTTGAATTTATGTTTTGAAATGTATGCATCCTTTTGTAAATGTGTTTTCATCAATATCAGTTTTATAAAATTGTGAAAGTTTCGGGTCCTTGAAAAATATCATCGGTACTTATTGACTTGTTGTCTACATTGATCAAAAAATGTATTTTATCGTAAATGTTTGCATATCCAGAATGTCTTATTTTTAGTTGCTCCTTGAATTAATTCAACGCAGCAAAATAAATGGTTTTTAATTTGTCTTCAGCACCAAAAACTACTTCATTCACTCTAAAATTACCTGCGTCTAGTTCATCACACAAAACGACGTTTTTGATCCAATCTATATTCTTCTTTTCTAATTTTTTTTGCTTCATCAATAAATGTATGAAACATTTTATCAGTTCTTATTCCACTCACATAACCAATTAAAGATTTGTACAGATTAACATCTTCTAAATTAGCTGATGTTGATTGCAAAATGTTGCTAAAAGTCATTCTAACGTTTAATTTTTGAGCTATTTAAAGACATTTTATGTTTACGATCTTATTAGGTAATTTTTATTTGGTAGTTACTCTGTGGATAAAATTGTTCAACTAAACAGAAATGCTTGCATATGAAAACTTAATACGAGGTTCATTATGAGTTGTACTTAGTGGTCAAAGAAAAAAGTAGAGTGTCATAAATTTGGTAATTTTATTTTTTAATGGTTTTAAGATCAAATTTTGTTGAAAATCGTAAATATTACGGCCTTTTAAAACATGTATAAACAAATTTCACTCAGAATTGTTTATTGTTAGCAATGGTTTATCGATATAAATTAAATAACTTTGTGTATCCTACCTACCCAACTACTCACCCTACAATAGTGACGTATGACGTATCCATCAGTAGTATCCTCTTTTTAAAAAAATTTATTTTTAACTTTTAAATTCTGAGTGGAGAGAGGAATATATTGATTTAACAAAGAAATTGTGAACAACTTTTCTACCAGTAAATTTGCCCCGATTTTTAATTATAGCACTTCTCTGGATGGAAATCTGCCTGGAGTGGTACTTTAGAGATGTCATTTTTTTGATTTCCCATACTGTTTTCATAATAAATGGGAACAATTGGGAAAAGACATGAGAAAAAACGTAGGAAAAACGGGAAAATAAGTATATAAATAAACACATATGTTATTAAAGAAAACATATAATGCATAATATATAAATATTTTACCATAATATGGCATTTATATTGTTAACAAAGCAATACTATTAACCGAACTCTGATTAAAATCGTTTTTATTTAGCAATGATTAATCGTTACGTACAGACATACATTAAATTCCCCCTCTTCCTTCCCAACTTCACAACTAAAACAGTGACCCACTCATCATCGTTTGAAGTATGTACGTATCTTTTTTAATCATAATATAACAAGTTGGTATAATATATTTCTCATATGGGTGTATTTTACCATACATACTTATAATCACGTGTTGAAACACTCAATGGCCCCTTTGACTCCTTTTAAAATAGGAGTGAAAACGGAAAATCTGATTATTTATTATTTTAAATATGAGTGCATGTAAATAGTGTTGAATCTAGATATATGAATGGGAGGTGATAGCCCCCCTAGAATTTTATTTATCTCTCCTCTGTTAAATGAGGGTGAATTAATAATTAAACAAATTTGACTGGTTTTAAGAGAATAGATAAAAAGATTATGACTATAATTTTAGTAATGTTCCCTCCAGAAAAATTATCTGGTTGCAATTGATTAGACCACGGAAAGTGGGTCATAAATAAATTTCAAGATTTCATGACTCAACAACTTGAGGTAAGTTAAAGAAAATCAAATAAACAATTTAAATTTCAAATGTCTATTATATTATACATATATGTATTATATATATAGCCTATATAAATGGACAGTTTTATAAACAACAATAAATAGTTATAAACAATATTGTCTAGAATATTCTATACTATTCTTTACTATTATAATTCCATCCAGGATTTCTAGTGATGATATTTATTATGTAATCATGTTATAATCTACCTGCTATTATTATTTACGATCCAAGTAGAATCTTTCTGTTTCTTTATTACGGTTCGACAGTTTTATTTTTGGTTGTTTTATGGTTCCCGGATCAAAGAGCATATATTATTATAAAATTTACAAATGCTAATTGTGCGAAGAAAAAATAAATAGCAGTAAAGTTCATTACAATAATTCTTAAAATGGATTTAGGTACCTATGTACATATGCCGGATATGCATATGATATCATGTCTACTGCCTACAATTATTCACATAATTAAATGTTTATGATCATGTTAGATTGGTGTTTACAAGTTACAATTGATATATGAACAAATTTTGTTATTTTCATACAAAAATACACTTAAATAGGTATAAAAAGGTCTGTTATATTCTTATAACAATAATATCATTTATTACGTAAACAATTTGTAAAATATTTATAAAATATGAATATACATTAATAAATATTTTATCTTAATCTAACCTATCTATATATTATGAACTACATACCTGTATTTGTATGTACAAATAAATACAATTATTTTAATATTGAGGCAATATTTGTGTCTAGACAAATTTAGGCGAGTTTTAAATACATAAGACATACTATGTACAATCTTTTCATTTTTTATTATGTTATATTTTATTATTTTAAATTATATAAATTTATAATTTATATAAGTTATATTTTATTGTTATCTATACAAATATATTGTGAATTGGACTTTTGTCCGTATTAATAAATAAATAAATAAATAAATAAATACACATTACACATACAAACAGTAATAGGTTCGTATTATCTACGTTATTAAGATTACCATGGGCTAAGATATAAGAAGACTTAAGGATCGTGACGTTTACATATAGCTATTAGTCACAGTTGTAAATTCAGTCTGTACAAAATTATAATACTTTAAAATTATCAACCTTGAAAATACTTAAAATGTACATTGTACCTATTTCCTATGATATATTATGTGTGGCTATATACAATGAAATACCCAGGAGGGGCCTAAGGAATTTTATTCTCCCGCTTCCATGTGGTCATTTAAAAAAAAAATAATAATAATAACAATAAGTAATACTTAAGTTAATAAAATCAATAATCGTAATACCTACTGTCTAATATTATATTTAAAATAGAACTGATACTAGGGATGGTTGTACCACTGTTATAGGTATAAAGTTGAGAAAATAGGATACCTACACAAGTAATAACATTCTGTACGCGACGATAAATTATTATTGACGAAGTCCGACCTGAGCAAAATCCGGTTAAACATGTTTTGAAATGCGGTAATTTTTAAGTAAGTTGTTCACTTTAAAAAAAAAAATAATAAACACATATTATAGTAAAATCTAAAATAAATATTATCTATTATATAACTATAAGCAAAACGATAGTCCTGTGATGGTGTTATTAGTGTTAATTTGTGAGAATGATTAATTTCTGAATTATGTTTAAAAACTGGTGTGGGGGCATAGCCTCTCAGGGGTCAGATTAGGTTTAATAACTGCAAAGGACACTAAATTTGTTTAAGTCTATAATAGTTCCTCTTATTTTATTTTTCTAATTAAAGTACTTAGTTATCAATGAGAAGGGGGAGATTTTTGGGTGGTCTAGGGGATTTATGGGTCTAAAACTATCTCAAAGTTATCTATAGATGAAAAATAATTAATGGGGGAGTGTTACAACGCCCAAAATTCCCCTAGCTGTTTACGCCACTGTTATTCATAACTACCCGTGAAATATTTTTATCAGTTATACCATTGATTAACGACTACCGAGGCACGTTGAAAGTCACCAACACTAGTTACTTAATCAATGATACGAATCTAGGTGACACTCAGTGGTCTGAATCGTAATTTAGCTTATCTAAACCAATTACTCTTACATTTTAACAGATATGATACACTAAACCTATTGGTTGTGAAGACTCTGAACCCAAATTTCGCATTCGTTTTTCAATTGGCCTGTTAGTT